ACTGAAAATAAATGTGAAAACAAGCAGAAATCAAGTGGAAAAACTGAGAAATTGAGATATTTTCCAATTAAGGATTGCAGCAGTGTGGAACAATGTAAGTTTTGCAATTATGGTGTCACAACGATACCCTGAGCTCCTTTAAAAAATGGATTTTTGAGGTTTCTGTTTGTATATGGTCATTAACTGGACTAGTATTTAAATAAATTGATCACTCATCTTTAAAAGGTTTCCAGAGCAACATTGTTGTAGTTAATGTGGTGTTGTTAACTGAAGTTTTAATGTTTTGCCCAATTTTAAAATGACTTCCCTTGTTTTAAATAAATTATTATTTACATTTTCAATAAAAAATCTGAAACTCTAACACAGTAATAAAACATCCGTAAAGCACAACAGACAGAAGCAGTACCTGATATTTCAGAAGATTAATTTAGTAGTCCCTGAATGTAGTCTCTTTTCAGATGTTCTTTTTCATTTCTAAATTTAAGGGGCTTGCTACTTCAGTTTTGACTTCTTCAGCAGCACCACTGACTGTCTTTGAAATTGTGTTATAAATCTACTCCCATGGTTTATAATTGTAAATGGGAGTGGCAGAGGTAAAGAGCTGGAACACTGTTTCAAGATCTGATAATGAGAAGCTATCAAAGGCTTGAAAGATTAAAAGAATGTGAATACTTAGGATCCAATGCAAAACATTGACATTTAGTTTCTGTGTTAAATTGAAAAAATAGTTCCAGAACAAGACTTCATGTGAAGTCTTAATCTCTTTCACTATCAAGATGTCTTGTATAACTAAAGTATGTAGGAGATTTTTTTTCTGGGGTAACATTATATCCTGAGCTAACCCTGGCTTTATACTGTAGTTCTAGTTATGTTACAATGCTGTCAATAATACAGAGAGTAATATATACTATTTCAGAAGAAGCACTATCACAAAATGTGTCCTTCTCTGTGCAGTAAGTAATCTAAATTTGCACTGGGAGGGATATTCATATGCTGCAGTTGGTTTGTTGTCATTTTTTTTTAAATTTAACAATTACGTTAAACATTTTTAAATGGCAGCTTGTTGGTATTTTTTTCATTTGCCATTTTCATTTGTACATTGCGGCCGTTGCGGGTTTTTTTTCAATAACCAGTTAACATTTTCATCATAGTACATCCTGGTATGGTGTTGGCTTCATGAGCATCTCAAGCCTTGAGATCATAAGCCCTACAGAAGGCTCAGGAAAACCAAGGCTCTTGAACTGGACATGGATAAATGGTATTCACAGCAGGTATTCCATGGGGAATGTGTCATGTTTCAAAAGCACAATACAATTCATCACTTAATAAAGTGATGCCCCCAAAATCTGGCTCCCAGCTTAGCCCATGATGTCTTAATGCCTTAGAGGTATTGAGAAACAATCATTCATTCAAGTGATTTTGGACACTTCTTTCCTCTGTCCCTTCTAGCTAAAATAAGTACATTGCAACCTGGTTAAGGAGGCAACACAGAAAGCCTGCCAGCTGGCCCTCACTGGGTGAGGGTGCAACAGTATGATGTTCTAGTCAGAACAATGGACTGTCAGTGGTTTTTTTTCATACCTGCCTCTCCTGTCCTTCATGACTTACCACCGCCCCCAGCCAAACATGGCTGATGAGTGCCCTGCCCTCCGGGTGCCTTTGCTCACTTTTTGAGTGGGTTTTGAAGGTGTTTCTGCTTGCTACTTGGAGCCTTTGACCCAGCATACCCTCCAGAAAGACCGTCTAAGACTACAAATACACACTGATATCAGACCTTTGGGTCCTGCACATCATTTAAAGGGCTGTAATCTGCAGTTCTATAGAATTTTGCACCTCTTCATGTGCATCATGTCTACTTCAGGTGTTGATACCTCATTCTTCTTCCAGAGTGGGAAGTACTGTGGTATTATCCATGGGAAATAGAGCACTCCACCTGGTGGAACACACATTTCAACCCATACTGTACCTCAGATAGCTTTCCTGAAATTCTTTATTTGGGATGAGGAAATCCAAGAGTACAAATGGCTGGGGAAGCTGTGTTTCGTTCTTCAGTGTTTCTTTTCACTTTGGGTCTCCATTAGTACAGGCAAATGAAGGACACACAAACATCTTTGTGTGTTGGGTAAAACTGCTTCACAAAAATCAATAATATAATAACAGTAGTAACTAATTATTTGAATTGTTTGCTATTGTAATGCATATGGCTGCCATTGCAAGTTGTTAGAGCCAGCTTACCAGCATGGTGACATCACCGCCCTTCCCTGAGAATAACAGGGATCGCAGCTGTAGGGCTGACGGGAGATTTCCCTTTAGCTCAACTGGTTGGGTCCCTGTTGAGTGATCCCAGAGGCCTGGGTTTGAGTCCCCAGTGGTGGGGGGATGACCTGAGGTGGCAGCGGTGAGGGTGCATACCCACGTGAACCCAAGAGCGCTACAGTATGTTGTTCAATTGTACCATTGTCAATAGAGTATCTGATCAGAAGTCATGAAGGTAGGTTATTATCTTTAAAGGGGAAAGTACCCTTATCAATTTGTATTTGTTTTTCCTTGAATTTTGAAAAATAAATTTGGATTAGGCACCGTCTATCATTTTCTTTTCTTTATGGAACCCAGGTCGTTTTAAATAATGCTATAGTAACACACAATGACTAATGGAACTCTAATTTATGTAGATTATGAGAAATGCTGTGTCTCACTTCAAGGTACACTTTTCTTAAAAAAAGGTACACAAGGTACTTTTTTTAAAGCAGTGATAAGGACACTCATAAACCACACCATTGTCTTTGTTTTTAGTTCTGTGATTCAAGTAAATACAGAAGAACAGCAAAACATGCCACTGACTAATGACTTTGTATGAAGACTATAGAAACAGCTTCATTTTATTTTTATTAATGTAAACAAAATAATTTTTAAACAAATGACTATATGTTTGATTTATTGGATATTTTTGTTTGCAATCGAATTTAATTTTAAAACATCGTAGGACACATTAGTGTCAACGTTGCATGTCCTTACCATGATTTAGTGCCAATTAGGATAAACAAAATCATTAATAAAATAAGCACCGCAAACGAAAGCCCCGTCGAAACTACAATCTCCAGAAGACATTTCGTTTTAAAACGTAACTTCCGTTAACAGTTAAAACAGCATGGCGACGTCCACTGATGTTGGAGACTTGGATGTTGCAAAAATCAGTGTTCCAACTTACGAATATAAAGGTGTCAACACAAAAGTCTTTCATGTAGGTTCATTTGGGAAGCTGTGGGGAGAGAAATTGAACCCCGATTATTTCTCCCTTCAAGAAAACGCAGCTAATTCGGAAGAAGCAGAAGATGCTGCGTTTGCAGAGGAGGTCGGAATTAGTGCAGACGTCTTGGAGGAAGTCAAATTCGTGTGTAGGTATGATTTCACCGCACCTGTTTAAAAAAAATAATTCAGATGAACAAGTTGCACTGTATCCTGTGACATTCACGGTTATCTTGTCTCCCAACTCTTACTTGAACATTAAATCAACAGTCATATTACTGTAGCTGTATGATTCTTATATTGCAGTTTACTTGTATAGTGCAATGCAGAATAAATGCTCACATCCCTGTACAAACGTGTGAAAGTATCTAAAAAAATATACTTAGCAAATTTTAGAGCAAGAAAACGGAAATATACGATTCTCAGTACTTACGGTGGAAATTATGATGGCAAAACAAACGTTATTAAGTGAAGAGTCAGAGGATAAATAAAAATCAAAGTTTAAAATGGAAATTGTAAATTGAATTGCTGGATGAATTAACATTGGCGTCCTGTGTTTATTACTGGTTTGACAGCTTGGATACTTTGAGGTGTCATCCTGAAAACGAATCACCTGACACAGAAGTTGTTGGCCCAAATCCCAGTCTGCAGACATTGAGGTGAGGATATCTGTCAAAAATATTTAAATATTTTATTACTAATTTATTACTAATTCGTCATTTGATTTTTGTGATCCCTCTTTTGCGTTTGACAATGTTGAGGTCCTTTCTGTAGCCTTTCTGTGTGAGCCTGGTCAGTACCTGGATGGGAGACCTCCTGGGAAAAACTAAGGTTTCTGCTGGAAGAGGTGTCAGTGGGGCTGGCAGTGGGTGCTCACCCTGGGGTATGTGTGGGTCCTAATGCCGCAGTATAGTGACAGGGACTATAATCCCACAGGGTGTATCACAAAAAGAGTAGGGATGTTACCCCGGATTCCTGTAAAAATTTTCCCCTAGCCTTTACTGGTCATGGCCTCCTAATAACTTGAATTGGCTTCATCACTGTGTTCTCCCCTCTGATAGCTGATGTGTGGTGAATGTACTGGCACACTATAGTTGCCATCACATTATCCAGGTGGATGCTGCACATTGGTGGTGGTGGAAGGGAGACCCTATTACCTGTAAAGCACTTGGAGTGAAGTGTCCAGAAAGGTCTATATATGTGTAAGGAATTAATAATAATAATAATAATAATAATAATATTAATAATAATACTAATAATACTACTACTACTAATAATAAAATTAATATTAAATTTAGCCATTCCTCCAAACAGATTGCATGTTCTGCATTCATATTCTTTTTTCAACTCATACCTGAGCTGTGTTTATTTTGTACCACACAACATCCCTTTAAACTTGGCTTTATCCTATTCAGTTTTCACCTTAACAAAATTTTAAGATGAAGCTAATGGGGAAAAAAAAAACTTTTTGCTTAACACTTTGTCTGGTGTTAATACCCACAGGGTGTTTTGCCTTGTCAGTCCCTGAGTTTCCAGAGCACTAGTCCCAGAGCCCATTTACTTCACCCATCAGTTATTTTGAGCTCAAAGCAAAGTCTAATGGGGAAATTGTTCTAGGCATTCACACTGTGCACATGGACATCACATTCTAAGATTTCTGGTTAAAATATGTGTAACTTATTTTTCCCTTTTTTATTCTATTCTTATCTTCTTGTCTGAGCAGAGTTCAAAAAAGGAAGCAGGATTACCGGGAAACTCTGACAATAGATAAGACATGCAGAAGTAACATCTATGCAAGTGAAATGGTGAGTCTGGAGGAGGAGATGGAACATTTGTATTATCTCAGTCCTACGAAACGCTGGTTCCTATTCCAGTGTTGTGTAGCGCTTCTGTGATTGGTGGCTAGGTTGGGGAATTTCTTCAGTGTGTATATTAAGGAGTCATTTGTCTCTCTTATTTTTTCCAGTCACCAGGTGGTATCCATGAGGTAGCTTAGTTAATTACTGCAGTGCTTAATGACCTAAATCTCAGTTTTTTTTTCTGTACATTTTGCATCTTATGGCTGAAGAGTGTGAGTGTTTTTTTTTAGAAAGCATCTATTTGCCTTTCCACCTAATTTTACAGAGCGGGGTTTCTAAAGGCAACTAATTTATCAATTGATTCGTCTGTTTTGTGTTTCTGCCGATCTGTCTGACTGTTGTAATTTATGTATTGTATTTATCGGCAAATATTTTATATTTCCTTAAGCATATTAGTACACCTAAGTGCATTTGTATTTTTACATTGCTAATGCAAAGAAGATCAAGATGGTCAGTGTTGTACTTTGCTTGAGAAAGGATAGTTTAGTGTACTACATGATCAATTAATAGAAAGGTTTACCACACACAATCAGAAAACATGGCAGAAATGACAATGTGGAAAAGAATTGTAGAAATTGATTTTTTTTGTAGTCTTGTCCTTTATCTGCCAGAACAAGGCTCTGTTGGTCAGGTGTGAATGGATATGAGCTGTACTGCACTGTCTACGGTTGTTGTTTTTTATTTTTACATATGACATTGGTTTCTTTGTTTGCATGAATAATTAAGTCTTTATGAGAGAAAGAAAATACCCTGGGAATTACCCAGGGAAGGACAACATTGATTTATGTTTGGTGAAAACAATTTATTATTTATAAAAAAAGCATTTTTTGGTTTAATCCTCTCTTAAAAAGCATCTCAATGTTCTTTTCATTCTAAAAGAGATATATATATATATTGAAAAAAGATTCTGTTCAAATACAACAAGAATTTAAACAGCACTCATTTCAGGTTTTACAAGCAACAACCTCATATATGCTACCCACCATTTACGAGAGATAAACAAGTAATCAAACATTAAGGAAAATATAATGTGTAGATTATAATATTTTTGGTAGTTGTTTATTGATGTGATGGGTCCCTATCATAGATCAGTTTGTATGGATACATATATAGTAATAAGGCAAAATTTAGTTAGGCAGTGACCTCATACATGACTGTACATTCTCACCCATTGTCTGTAAACCTAAAGAAGACAGACATGCCAGAATTAGGTGAATGTCAGAATATTGTTTGAGGACCCTTGGCCTGAGTTTTACTGTGCTGTCATCTCATATTGCTGCTCAAGTGTCACAGCTGGGGCTGAAGTAGATGGAGGTCCCTGACCAGACTCTACAAACTGCTAATTAGCAGTAGATCTTTTTAATGTTAGCAACATAATGTTTATGACAAGAAAACATGCTCTGCTAAAGTTCTGTGCTTGACGGAGGTTAGTCTGTTTTGTAAAAATATACATTGATTACAGGTCCTCAAATCCCCTTTTTTAGTCTCTGTTCGTCATCATAGAGTAGATCCTTAGATGTTCTTGTAAAGTGGAAAAAATATTTTAGACCTTTCATTATCTTTTTTATTGCATTTCATTTAATTTTTAATTTTAAGTTTCATTTAAATACTTACAAAAGTGCTTGAACTATAGTTTGATAGAGTGATTGAAACGTAGAGCCCCCTTCACAGTATCTTGTGAATGATTCTTCACAGTATCATATGAATGATTGCATCAAAGCAATTGTTTTGGAAACATCAAACCTAGCTGGAAATTCACCGTGCTTTTTATTCATAAAATAGATAACTGTGCTAGCTTTTCACTGATCATCAAAATGGCTTTGGTATACCTTTAAGCCAGTTTGAAGTCCTATTTCTGAAAGACAATTTAAAAATTAAAAATATAATTTATGAGCTCTGGGATAAATAAGAAAGGAACAGGATTTGCCATGTACTATGCTAGCCTGTGTACTAGTAAGTTTGACCCCTCCTGATTTTTTGTATTATCTTTTTTGTCTCTGTCCATAATCAGAAATAGGAATGACAAGAACTGCTCTAATGTTCCTTTTCTACATGATATTCTGTTGTCAGCTGTCCCAGATCCAGTGGAATTTCAACCTCTAAATCCAATTGAGAAAACCACAGCACCACTAGTGACAGACCTTCTTTGTCTTTCACTAACACGTTTATACAGTTTTGCCGTGTGTTGCCGTCTGGTAGCCAGGGTGACACTTGAGTGCCCTTTTATAAACAAGCAAGATCACTGTGTGACTGGCCATCTGACTGGCTTGTCAACAAGCGAAGCTTCCGGCTTCAACACAACACATACAGTGTTGCTAAAAGGCTGTCTACTGAAGCACAGAACATTAGCAAAGACTCTTTCATAGGAACCTAATTTTCAGTCATAAGCTGTGACTCCAGGCTTCTTTTAGTGTGGGGAAAAATATTAAAACGTGCACTGTACACTGGAGTGTAAAAGTCTTTTCACATTGTTCCAATCTTTTTCTTCCTTACTGAGAAACACAATTCTATCTTCTACTGTTTTATTTTAAGCTAATTCTAATAGATCTGTACTTTGTAATACAAAAAGTAGTCTTTTAGCCTTAAAGATGTGTAGACAGCCCATCATTTTTTATGAGCCTATGTAGTTCATTTGGCTCATAAAGCAATCATATCCACCCCTCCTCCAGGTCTGAGATTCACATCCAACCATTTTTTTTTACAGGAAACAATGGTACCTTCCTCCAGCCTCTTGCAACCTTAGCTTTAAAGAACTCCCTCCCATTTTTTGTGCTTCTGTTAATTTTCGTTTGTGCGGTCTGATTTATGTTTTGCTGGTAATTCTGAAATATCAGGGCGGCTTACTTTGTCCATGCACTTGAGGATTTTGAATTCAGAAATCAGATCCCTTGTAGCCTTCCCTGTTTGAGACTGAAAGCTTGCAGCCTGTGAGAGCGGGACATCCTTTTTAATCTGTACTACAGTACTACTAGTTTCTAAATTGTCAGCATGGGAGTGAGGAAGGCACCAGTCAGTTGAGGTAAGGATCTACGAAGGAATGAAAAATATTAAATGGGAGGAGCAGATTCAAAAAGAGCACCCAAGGGATTGGTAAAATGCCAAAGGACTACTAGGTAATTACTTATACTTTAATGCTTCAAGTGTTTGGAACAAAAGATACAGAGATAAATGAATGCTAATGCAGTAACATTGCAGATATAATTACCATTCATTATCATTGAATCTTTCATGTTAACAGACAGTGCTGGTTACAAACACAATAGTATTTTAGTAGTAAAAGGTAATTCCATTACCAAACAGGTTAGGTGGGAATAAATGGCCTCCTCTTGTTTGTGGAGGTGTGGTGGCACTGTGGCTAAGGATCTGTGCCTGTGGCTGGAAGGTTGCCAGTTCAAATCCCGTGGCCGGCAGAGGAATCCTACTCTGTTGGGCCCCTGAGCAAGGCTCTTAACCTAAACTGCTCCAGGGGCACTGTATAAATCCCCGACCTTGCACTCTGACCCCAAGCTTCTCTCTGTCTGTGTCTCATGGAGAATAAGTTGGGGTACGTGAAAAAGACAAATTCCTAATGCAAGAAATTGTGTATAGCCAATAAAGTGATCTGATCTTATATTAAAAAAAAGTCAGGAGGCACTTGAGGCTTATTCGGTTTTTGCTTTTAACCATTTTCATAACACCCAATTTGTAACAATATGGAGAAAATGGTTTTTAGGGAGATTTTAACATTCCTCACATATACTGTATTGAATAAAACCTCTAGGAATGTCAGTAGATGGAATTGAAAATGGTCGACCTGGCTAAGGATTGCTTTAGTTTCTCATAATGCCTACTGGGGGGAATGCTTTTCACATTAGTGATCAAATATTTTCACCTAACAATGAAGGTGGAATGAGACAATAGAAGTATAAGAATTCAAAGGAAAATTTAACCATATTTGATTGTTTGGAAACAGTTCATGTGGAGTCCAATCCAAAGGTTTATAGTTTAAAAAACATAAGCTATTTATATAATAAACTACTACAAAAGCACTAAGCATGAAGAGGCTTTCGCTTTTGAGAAATGTTTAGGTATTTATGGTGATATATCATTTTAACTTCCTAGGCACTTCAGGAGCAGCAATACAAAAGGTGAACAATGTAAGAATTGTTAAAAGTGCATAATTAATATTTAGCTATTGTGTTAAAATGGGTACAATGTAGTCATAATTTAAAAAAAATATTTTTTCTATTTCCATGTAACACACTCCACTTGTCTATGTTAAATGTAATCTGTTTTTTCCCCTAATTTCCCTCTGTAGTTTCTGAAGTGTTTTCTAATTTAGGATCCATCATCTGCAAATTTCTCTAGTTAATTCTTGAAATTTATTTAATGCTATTGTTGTTTATTTGTTTATCCTTTTTTTGGCTGAGGACATCATATTTTGGACAGCTGACACTGGATCTAAAAATACAGAATAGAAAGGAAGCGTAGGTAGTATGTGCTTTTTTGGGTGCTGTTGTCTTTGTATCTTTCCAGTGTGTGTTATAATGAGTGCGACCTTCCTCTTTTTGTGCCTTCAGGAATGTGTAACAGAAAGGAAGAGGCCTGCAGACCCAGAAGCCATGGTGGCAGAAGGGGAAATCATTTTGAGTATCAACATTGTGTACCCAGTCATATTTAAGAGGGTAAATTATTGCACTAGCTCATCAATGCAATCATATCACTCTGGGTTAGGTCAGTAGTTTGATCATGTGGGTGAGGATAGTTTCACAAATCCCAGCTACAGATGTTTTCCTCTTGGAATAAAACAAAAAATTCCAAACATAATTACATGTAATTTTCCTTTCATTTTCCTTTCCTTTCATTCTGTTGTTCCATCACAGAAACAGCATGTTGTGTTGGGTTAAAAGGAAAAATAACTCATTCAGTATAACACGACTGAATTCAATTTATTCAATTTATTGAATAAGACTGTTGGTCATACTGACCATTTTATGTCTGCTTTCTCTTGTCATAAAGTAATTTACTATGTTAAGAGGTTACATTAACTTGAGACGTTGACTGTTTTGTCAGGTTACTGGGTTTTGAATGATTGAGGTCTAATATTATATTGTTTGATTTTGGAGAGACTGATTCAAATGAATGGTGAATCTGTACCTCCTGATACACCTGCCTCAAGTTTGTCTGTGTTCTTACAGTTCAGAAAGCACAGGCAGCACCAGACAATGAGAGTGCTGGGCTCTCAGAAGCTAACGGAGCTGAGAGACTCCATCTGCTGTGTGAGTGACCTGCAAGTCAGTGGGGAGTTCAGCAATATGCCTGACCTGGCTCCAGAGCACATCAACAAGGTGTGCATCCCATATACACACTACCCAGCCATAGTGGACTTCTTCACTCTGGTTCTTTGCCATGATGAAAATCTTCAGGCTTTTGCCTGCTTTTTTTCTGAATGTCTGCCTCAGTCGAATCTTGAGAGTGACGTGTTGCACCCAAACTTTGAACAAAGCAGTAAACGCAATAAAAATTAGTATAGTTTAGTATTTTGGAGAACTTGTGTAGTTTCCTAATGTAATTTTAACTAGTGCGGTATTGTATTGCAGGTTTGATGGAGAGTTCTTAGCAGCTCTCTTATTCAGCTTGATTGCTCCTTTTACTGATGATTCTCAACTCATGAACTTGCATCCAATTCAGACATTGGCAATGCAATTGTTTGATTTAGATTTTCAGACCCACCCATGTACAGTAGTTTCCACTTCATGCTCGGATAATTTGTTGTTTTATCCAAATGTTTCCTGTGACATTTTATCAGAAGACAGTTTATACAGTTTAGCTTTATCACATATATATTTTCCACTTTTGCTGTTTATACTGATTTTTTTGTGGTAGTGAATTAAATATTACTTAGTTTCCCATTAGTTTAGGTGTTGTTTTCTTCTGAAGTTTAATTATGATATTTTCTTTAGTGAGCTTTTCCCACCCAGACATAAAATGCCTTTTTTTCACTTTCTTAACCCATTTCATTCTTCTGTTTTTAAATAAAAATAGTTGAAAAGTTTTAATCACAGCTCTACACACAGACAAATGTATGTAGTGGAGTCTCAAACATTAACCTGACCATTGAGACTATCATAAAAATTCTTCCTTAATATTTAAATATATTATTAACGCTGAGTGTCTCTGCCACTTCAGTGATGCTGCAGAATAAATTTGGTCTTCCTATCTATTTGGCTTTGTCAGAGTGTCAGGGTACTCTGTAATACCTTCCATTTTACATTTGTTATACAGACACCATTGACAGGATATGATGTAGCCGACGTAATTGCTGAACTAATAGGAGATAAAAGCTGATCATACCCAAAAAGGCCAGAGTGCATATAGTGAAATCAATATTTTTTTTCATTATTATTCCTCAGTTTTATAAACAGCTTCCAAAAGGCATTGATGGAATACGTAGTGAGATGTGAACTGTTGATCTCTCTTTTGTGCTGTCAACTACTGTGTTTTTTTTCTACCTTCTTTATCCAGGATCATTACAAATCTGCCTTCTTCTTCTTTGAGGGAGTGTTCTACAATGACATGAGGTACCCCGAATGCAGAGACCTCAGCCAGTAAGTCATAGCCCTGGGACACTTGAAAGGCAATGGTTTTGCAACAGGTGTCATGCAAATGGTCTGTTAGAAATCGCACAGCACAACTTGAGCGCACATAGGACAACGTATTCCTGTTGTCTTCGGGAAAAATGTATCTTTGTCCTTGGAACTACCTTGACTTAAAACCTAGTTACTTGTAGGTAAGAAATAGAAAAGTACAAGTATGAATAGGATCTATTTAGACCAGTGTATGGGGTCCGTTGCTGCGTGTTTTAGTTGTGATGTGTTTGATGGGTTTAAGCAAACCATGAGGTAGGATTATTGTCCTTTTTGTTTACAGAAACAACGTGTGGGATTTCCTGGTAGGGGTTTTATGGCATGAAATTGGAATGGACTCCTGTCTTGGGGAACACTTGGTCTATGTATCGAATTGAGCTTTAAATCGAGGGATTCTTCAGCCTGTCATGAAGGTTGCAATTGCTAAGACAAAGCAGTTTTCAGTTAGAATCATGCAGAGGTCTAGGGCATCACAGCTCTTTCAATGGTCTAGCTAATCTTAAATTATTTTCCATTGAGGAGATGCTGGGTATCCTTAACCGATTCCTTGAAAATTATAATCCTGATGCAGATTCTGATATAGGGTTCCAGGAAGTGGGTTTTGGCTAGGAAGTGCTGGGAACATCAGGAATGAGATACACCCACATCCAGTGTTTGAGTCTTTTATCCATTAGTTTTGGCAGTTTAGATTAAATGCTATAGTGTTAATACCATATTAACTGTGAATAATTTGTCTTCAGCTGAAGAATAATATTACAGAAAGGAGCTTTATGCTTTATTCCTTAAGAAAGGGTCTCATACTATTTCTTATTCCATACAGTGGAATGAATTAAAGTTTGTTTCTGTTCTTGTTGTACAGTAAGTTATGGTCTAGTTCTGTGTTGTACAAGTTCATTGTTTGTCAGCTGTAGCACCTCTTTTGATGCATATTCATTCTAATATGCATCATCTTTTCAGTTTTCATACGATCATAAATTACTTATTAACTATTTCATCACTATGTACATACTAACATAAGAAAACAAGAGGAAACTATTTGGACATTTAGCCTGTTAGATAGTAGCGACAGTGAAAGGATGTATTGGGACAATGAAACAAAAATTGTATTTCAGATCAAAAGATAAATGTGAGGTAGAATGTCTTTTATTTGTGGATATGTTTGTGCATATATGTTAAACTATGTTAGAAGAATGATGTTTTGTATTCAATCTCCCCAATTTCAAGTCAGCATAAGTATTGGGACAAAGTAACTTAGTTGAAATAGTGTAAAATTAGTACTTGGTCGCCTGCCCCTCAAATGTAGTGAGTACATGAAGACTGTGACCCATTGAGCTGAATGAGCTAAAATGCTTGTATCCGGTCTTTTAAAACTTTATTGAGAAATTTTCTCACCCTGAATTAACAACTTTCACCATAGTAGTCATGCCATATGGTGTAGATAAACAAATGATTGTCATAAAAGGACAGAGCAATTCACATTGATTTATCTGAATGTATACACAACGTCCTTGTTTTGGATTTTATGTGACTTATTTTTACAGGTCTGAAGAATCAATTAAGGGATGTCCTGTCATGTGACTGATCCTGTATTCATTCACGTGAAATGCCAGTGGAAAATGTTAAAGCTTGCAGTACAAAGCTGAAGCTCTAACCCCTTTTCATGTGTCTTTACAGCATTTGATGATTCCTTTGCTGAGCTCCGATGGGAGAGAATAATAAATACTGACAAATTAGTTTTTGTCAGTAGGCATTAGTATTACTGGGAGAAATTTCAATTGTTGTACATTTTTTAAACAAAACAGATTCATATTAAACAAAACAGTAGTATACAGTCTGATCATGTAAAAGCACACTTTGGTGTGTCAAGAGACCCCTGGAGGTCTTCAGAGATGGCCCAGGATGGTGCTTTCAAACAACGCCTTATGACTCCCTGACTCTTTCAGAAATTAACATTTAAGACAAGTCCTGTAGTTTCAATAAACCTTGAAGATAATGATAAAATATAGGTAGGTTCTGTCAAGGTGAGTGGTATGCCTGCCATATAGAAACTTGTTTTGAAAAAGCTGCTTGGCCTTCATGGTTGAATCTTTGCTTTAAATTCACTACCAGAATGAGAGCCCTTAGAAAGACAGATGTATTTTATCTAAAAAAACATATGAATCACTATTACTGAACACAAAAGCCATTTGACTAATTCTGTAAGAAAATCATTATTCAGTTAATTTTTTGCGTTTTATATATATATTTTACTATATTAGCTACAAAGCTAAGATGGTCTGCAACATTCTTAACTGTATGATGGGAGCTTGGCTCAACGGTATTACTCAAAATGGTGGAATAGCACACTAAGGAAATTAAAACTCTTTAGAATTAGATTTGATGCACATCTGGGCTTGCATTTAATTTCTTTACTAATTAAAGGGATTCAATTTGATCATGCAAGTTTTGATCATTTGATATTTTTATGTTTATCAATATTTATATTTGGATAAATATTTGTTTTAAAAATGTGTGCATCATTTGTAATTCAACAAAATGGGACATTGTTGCCACAGCCTGAATACAAGGAACTTTAGCTGTTGTTAACTTTTAGTTAATATAATTTTAGCTTTTTTATGTACACCTAACAATATAAATACATTTGCTTGTCAGGATCCCCAAATAATTTAATGAATAATTAGAGTCAATTTTAGAGTCAAGTTTGTAAATGTAAACATATGATTGTCAGGTCAAACCCTTTCACTTCTTCAAAGGACCAAACTGTATCATTCAATGTGATATTGATGTAACTGTGGCTTCAGTGGTCAAGCAAACATTAAAGAACACAAAACGTTTTTACAGTAGATATAATCAGATGGACTTATCAGGAATGTGTTGCAATTGCTTTTGGTCTTTATTGAGTGTCTATGTTGTCCTTAATGACTGTATAATTAGATTGGTTGCTTCTGCGTTTGATATTGCGTTATTTGACGTGATTTGGTCATTTGAGGAAAAGCAAATGTGTTTCACCTCTAAAATTCCAATTTTACAGTTTAAAATTGTCTTCCAGGATGCAAAGTTTTGAAAAATAAAAATCTTAAGTCATCTTTTCTTTCTTGTCAAGATCTCCAAATGACTTTATTGACTTTTTTCCCATGATTTTCTGCACATAGATGTACTGGGTTGAATTTTAACAGACTGAAATATATTAAAGTACACTGAGTAGACACTATACTGTATGTATCTCAAGGTTATTGTACAGTATAGCTATCAAAGTAATATTTAAGTTAAAAAGCAGAGTGAGTTTTTTGGACTCAATCCTTTGGGTAGTACAAACAGTGTAGCAATCAATGGTATTGTCTTATTTCACACTGGTTTTGGGAACTGTAGCATTGGAAAATACGTTTTTTGTAGTTTGCATGATGTAAAGAGGGCAAGTTACATAGAGTGCTCATCTGCAGTGTTCTGGATTTTTGTTTGCTTTCAGGACCATTTTGGACTGGGCTCAGAACCATTACACACATGACAAGTTACAAGCTGCAAAAATGGAAGAGGCTACTTTTAACGACCTGAAAATTAAAATTGGTTTTCCTTACTTGTATTGTCATCAAGGAGATTGTGAACATATTATTATAATTACAGACATCAGGTGAGTGTTTTCTGTTCTTTTCTTTATGGTAGTTGTGTTCATACTTGGATGCAATTGTTTCATAAGCTGTTTTACGGCCTGTACTAGAACAAAGTGGACATAAATAAGACATGAATTGATTTCTTACAGAAGGGTCAAACTAAATAGGTTATCATTGCCTTTGAACACCTCCATGTTCCAGTGACACTGTGAATGTATCAAAAATTAAAAATTTGGCAGAGCTAAAAAATATAAACTCAACCTACACTTGATTTAGATCTCCATAGTGAATAACATTACTGTATGAGTGAATGAGCTAATACTTACCAAGTGCTTTTTATTTCCCATGTTGAACACCTTGGCAAAAGACATGATTAGTCGGCAGTCTAATTTCACTGACCGTGGATAAGGTTTAATGCCAATATCTTCACATTTTTAAGAAGTGGTTTCCAAAAAGAGGCAGCACAGTGGCAGGGTGATTACATGTGGAGCTATCTGTGTGGAGCTTGTATGTTCTCCACTTGTTTACCTGGGTTTCATCTGGATGCTCCAGTTTCCTCCCACAGTCCCAAAAAAACATACTAGTAGATTAATTGGTTGGTGGGCAAAATGGCCCTGGTGTAAGTATAGTAAATGCATGTTTGTGTCTGTACAGTATGTGCTCTGTGATGGACTTGCGTACTATCCAGAGTGTATCTTGCCTTACACCCATTGCTTGCCGTGATAGGGTCCGGCTCTCCCGTGACCCCGCATTGGAGGAAGAGATTAGAAAATGGAAGGATGGGATTTCCGTAATAAAAAACCTGAAGACTTTAAAAATATTTTCCCTTGACATTTGGAGCTTTGACATTGTTAGAACTCCTTTTTGTTTCCAGCCAACTCAAAACTATTCTAAGACATGTTACAAAAACATTGATACACATGTTCTCCCAAACCCATCCCCTCTCATACTACCCTGCACAGAGCTCCACTATAAGAACATAAAGGTTACAAATGAGAGAGGACCCCTAGTGGTTAATTGATCTGAGGATCTTGTCTAGTTGTTTCTTGAAAGCCACTGTGTTAACATTGGTAGCAATGATCCCTAACTCACAGATTCCTAAAACACTGTTCTGTGTAAATGTCTTCCTATTACGTTCTATGTTCTTTCTGGTCTGTCTTAAATATGCTTTCATTTAGTTTCTACCTCTGTTGTATTTCATAATATATTTGTAATGTATCAAGATATAATAACTTTAAAATTTGAACCAATTAATAATACCAGTAAATAGACATTTGGACTGGCCATAGTGACTTAATATCCCAAAAACTCTAGTGAAGCTTTCAGTAAATGTTTCTCTAGGGACTTAGTTTAATTTAGTTGTCTTTTATTAATCATTTCTCTTTTTCAAGTAGAAACAAAACATGGCATTTAAACACTTATACAAGTAATCTCAAAGAGGAGATTATAAATTTGTAAGAGAATGTCTATACATAACTCAAATCAAATGTACTGTTATTGACTAAGTTGGGTAGTTCAAGAGATCCCTAACTCATACAAATCTAGAGGGTTAAGTTATAAATAAATTATTATAACAGAATGAAAAGTGCTGACGTTTACAGGTTGCTATGACGCACAACCATGGAAATATTTTAAGCTGAAACACTGTCTTATTGTGCACAGGATACAAATGTCTGATAATGTCTGCTGTTTCCATGTCCATGTGTGACCTAAATTAAAATTAATGTGGCAAACCACTGATCTATGCCCATCATTGCCAGTCACGTTGGTGACATGTTATCCGATTTCATTTCTGTTTGGCATCAGGGTGGCCCATCGGGATGATTGCCTAGACAAAACACTCTACCCAGTCATCACTAAGAAGCACTGGGTCCAGACACGGAAATGCTCCGTGTGCAACATGTACATCCCAAGGTAGGAAAAGTCCCATGGGAGTTTCTGGGTTTTAAGTTCAACACCAGCAAGTTGCAGTGTGCTTAGTTTCAGCTGACTTGCTATAGTAATGTCATGGCCGTATTAATCACAAGGAGGTGATATGCGTGTGTTAAATCCATTATTTTTTCCCCCTCCGGTTTAGGACGTTCTTTGTGAAGAGACAGTTGGGCTGGGTTTCATTGCAGCCCAGGCGGATTGCATCATTTTGTTTCTCGGAGGCCATCTCGATGTCCGATCACGTATAAAATCACATTTATCCGAAAATAGTCTCAAGGAAGTGGCCTCACAAAAGCAGTGGATATGATAAGCCTGACACTGATATACTTAAGCATTTTGCAAAAGCAAGTTTTATAGCTCTGTTCCTCAAGACGTTTTCAGAAAATCAAAATATTACCTACTAGAATTTTAGGTGGAGCACAAGTCTAATAGAGCAAAATGTATATGCCTATAATTTTTCAGTATTTACAATCCTTACAATTTGGTTCAGACACCAAATACGCGCTGGGCTGATCACAGCTGTAGCCATTTAATACTTCAAATTCTGCTTGTTGTTTTTACTGTCAGTAGAACAACATGGATGTTTTGCACTATATGAAGTTTTAGGTAACAGTTCAAGATTTAAGATGAACTTTTTCTACTTGAATCAGAGAGGAAGATAAGTTCATGTGGAACTGTCGCTTTGCACACATACAAGCAACTTTCCAGGCCCTAGTTGATAGGTTGCCTACTCTTGAGGGCATTGTCTTGAAAGTACAAAAGAGGAGCTTTGGTATTCAAATTATAGAAGCAAATGTTCATAAAATGGAGAAAACCTATTTTTCATTAATGTAATTTTGATTAAATTAATCATTTTATCTTGTAGTTATGTTTTAAAACATAGTCCAATGTCATATGTGAAGTGGTAACTTATCATTAATCAATTTCCTTCTATTGTATAGTATTCAGAGCCTTCCTATAGTCTCTCATTTTGTGAACTTCAAAAAATGCACACACATTTTTAAACCCTATATTTTCATTAAAGAAATGAATGATAATTGAAGACTTATGAGGGGTAAGAATAGTTAAAGTAAATGTCAACAAAAACTAAAGAGAAAAAAATGAAATATGTTCATTGCATTAGTTTACAGACTTTAGAACTTAATATTTGGTGGAAGGACTCTTGGCAGCAGTTGTGACCATAGATCTTTCTAGAAGAAATCTCTGTTATCTTTGCACATCAGGCTGGTGCAGTTTTGCCCATTCCTCTTTACAGACTTGCTCAAACTCTGTCAAGTAGTTTGGGGATCACTGATTGACAGCAATTTGATTTGAAGTGAATTCACTTTTGCCTTGTAGCTGTGCTGCTGCAAGAATGTAGCAAAGTGTAAGCCATGTGCCATAGGTTATTGCTTGTTAAGAGGTGACTTCTTATCCCAGTTTTAGGTCTTTAAAAGACTTTCCTCTAAAGCCGGACCTGTTCTTTGCTTCATCCATTTTCCTCTTCATCTCAAAAATGCATCCCATTGGCACGGTGCTGTGACCAGCTTGCTTGACTTCAGGGAAGGTGCTGACTGGGAGCTGTGCAGTGTTGGATATTTGCTCAGAAATGTGGCGTTTACAGTTTGGTTTTGTCTGACCATAATGCCTTTTGCCATATTTTTGAAGGATTACTCAAGTGCTCTGTTGCAAACTCCAATTCTTGATGAATACAAAGTGATCACAAGGATGTTCAGAGACTGCAGTCTTTTGTTCCCTTCTTGTGATCTGCGCTTTGCATGACTTCTTCCTTATGTCTTCATAGTTTAGTCTTCAGTAAAGTTAACTTCCTGATGTCAGAACCTCACAGAGACAGGAGTTTTTTATTCAGGAATCATGAGAACCACCATTACTGTACACAGAGTCCATTCAGTTAATTGTGTGAGTTATTAAATGCACCTTAATTTAGGTTTGCCACAGAAAAGGGTTCACTCATGCAGCCATTAAGTTCCCTTTTTAATTCTGACTGCAAGCTTTAAAGCAGCAAATTGTGGAAGCTGGAAGGGTTTGAATACTTCTGCAAGACATGGTACATTCAAATTTCTTCAAGGCATCTGTGCTTTACAGTTAGCTGTAGTGTGATGATAAGCTGCTGTTGCATTATCTCATTTTGACATCTTCATTTAGTCGCTGCTCAGATCACTTGCAAAACATGCAGCAACATGAAACAAAATCATATAAAATGTTTTTAAATACGTGCAGGCTTTAAAATCAATTTGGCATGTATATGATGTTTTATTATTTGACAGGGAGTGATTTAAATTATTCAAACCATGCGTGTAGCATTTGACAGATTCTGAACTAAGAAGTTTATTTTTATGTAAGGTTGACATACTTTGTATGCTATAATAGGATGGGTACAAAGGTATGTACATAAGAACAGTTTAGCTTGAGAGAGGGAATACTTTTTTCAAAATCATTAAGGGGTAAAAGAAACATAAAAGAAAATACAGAAAATATACTGTCCTCCGTTCTTTTCCTGAAAAGGTGGGTAACCAGCAAAGATTGCTTTGCGCCGATGGATCCCTGCTTCTTCTGTGACAAGTGTTTCAGGATGCTGCACTACGACACTCACGGCAACAAGCTAGGAGAATTCCTGGCTTATCCTTACGTGGACCCAGGAACGTTCAACTAGAGACTGTATTCAAAGCAACCTGGAGGGGGGACTGAATTTTTGTGATGCAAATTACAACTTCTGTATAATTGTTGAGCACTGGAAAAGAATATAGTGCATTATACTTTTCTATGTCCCAATGTTACAATAACAGTGTTACAATAGTGTTTTTTTTATATCTTTTCAAATAAAAAGTAATGTAACAAAACATGCCTTCATTCTCCTGGTTAGTTCCAAGATGTAACATCAAGAAACTGCTCCAAGTGGTTGAAGGCAAAAAGGCAGATTGTTCTGTACCATGTTCATCTTCTGTGCTGCACTGCTTCAGTTTCACACCACCTTTGGCGATACTGCTTTAGCCTGATGTACTTTCTCAGTGTTATTTATATCTTTGTAGACCATTCCCATGCCTCCCACTGGAATGTCACATCAAATCAAATCAGATGATTTCCTGTTTTATTTACCAGCAGGTCTTGGCACTCCTATCTTGAACTTTGATGTACACCGTTACATACATACACTGCATTTCTAAACAATGGTCTGTTTATTCAACTAGGCAACCGTGGAGGAGTTTGTGGGTGAATCTCATATTGCAGTCTGGCTAAGGGGCTAATGTTCTGGGATGTATAAAGAAAAATGACTTAAGTGGGATACATACTGCTTCGACACCCACCTTGTATGACCAGGGTTTGAATTTCATTTTTGCCTCAAAACAGTTAAGATTTCAAAATTGTGGTAGTTTAGGGTGTAAAATCCTTTCCTTATATTTTTGCTCTTACAAAATGTGCCTAAGAAGAACAGAATCTGCTCAAAAAGATATATGTATGACATGTTTTACTGGACTGAACACTTCTTAAAGCGAAGCACCTTTCAGGTAGCCAGTGGATAAGAGAACTAGATGCTCCACTGCAGCTTTGATGCTAGAATAAGATACTATTTTTACACCATACCTCAGGTTAAATCAGCTTATACAACATAACCCAGGGCTACTTACCTTACAACCCTTCTGATTTAATCCATTTAAGTCATTATTAGCAAGATCAATATAACAAGATGCTGGCTGAAATGCAATTCTTCAATCAACTGGACTGTAAGCTTACATTTTGTCTGAAGTCTGAAGTAGATCTTTTTTTTTGTAGTGGTCCAACCTCTACTCAAACTAATTGGCATATTCTTCAATACAGAAAAGCTGAAAAATTAAAAGCAAGTAATCTGTTAATGTCCAGCATTACAAATCTGAAAACTTTTAAAATCCTGAGAAAAGTTTCTGCAAAAATGCACCTTCAAGACCATAAGTGAAATTTAAGATTCTCCCAAAGAATCCCATTTTGAAGTACTTTCTAAAGCTAAAACCCAAATGATAAATTTACAGTGCCCATGATAGAAATTATATGTAACTTGTATCTACCCAATTATACTATTTAGATATAACTAATAATAATAACCACTCTCAGACCAAATGCTTGAGATGAGGTAAAAATAATGACAATAAATTTGCACTTTCTAATGTTCAACTTAATTCTGAACTTTAGAAACATTTTAGCAATATTTTTCTAAGGACTAACAGGTATACCAATGAATCTTTTTTTAGGCCATAATTTTTTCAAATTCCAAATATTTGTATTCAAAGTTAGAACTGACAAGTGAATATTCAGTGTTGTACCACTAAGTACAAGTTTGTATAGACAGAACAATGAGCAAACCAAGCTTCTAACGAAACAACATTTTTTTTTTTACTTTGCATCAAAATGTATACATTTCAGTCTGGTCAGATATGGCATGGCAGAAAAATTAATAAAATGAAGCAAAGACATTGCACAGAGTTGTTTATAGTCACTGCTTTATTAATGGAGGCAAAACAGGTTCAAGACAGGCACAAAAATACTCTTTCCATATTTACATAAATGTGTCAGCAAAGGCTGACATATAACAACTGGGAAAAAAGAAAAAAAACATTTATACCACTTACAACTTCAAAAAAGAGTTAACAGTAGCTCCACCTTGGCAAAACAATTGACTTTGGCACACCATCCAGTAGCTTTTGTGATGCAGTGTAACTGTCTTTCAAAAAAGAAATATATACATCTAAACTAACAAAAAAGTTAAAGGTATGTTTATAAAGTAAACAAGTACAAATAAGCACTCCGGACACTTGGGTCACAGTGTCTTGGACAGCAGATAATGGTATAAAGAAAACAAAAACGACAAGGACAATCTGGTTTTACTGTACCTCTATCCTACTGAAATTAAAGGCCATTACTGCCACTACTTAAAATAAATTTAAAATAATCAACTTGCTGTATTTTTACTTACCAAAAGTTTCATTAGAATGAGTAAACCTATGTAAAAATTATCCATGTAATCTGCTGAAAGGAACTATAATGTATCTGATCTTAAGATTTATCAGCAACTTATATCTACTTTTCAACAACTGGCAAATTGAACTCATTCATAAAATGCTAAATTACTTGTGGAACAGTGCTACAGTACGTAGTTATTTTTAAATCTAGAAAATACTGTCATATCGCAACTGCTTCCTTGTTTTGTTTTTCATGGAAGTGACAAATGCTGTACATGCAAATATTTGAAAAATGGAACTACCCAGTTTTTAAAACATTTTAATATAAAATAGTCTAGATTTAAAACTTTCATTTACACTTACAATTAAAGATCTCAAATATGGGCTCAAACTGTAGGACATAACCACACTTTGCTCAAGAAAAAAACATTTTGTTAAAAGAATTCTGGATAAAACTAGTAAACAGGGCTGGCTATGACCTCCTGATCTCCTCCCCCTAAAGGGTCCTGAAATGGGACAATGTTTTAGAACTCGTGGAAAATCGAATAACTTCACACCTTCCTGAATAAAGAGGGTTGACCTTTCCGCCAGGACCAGCAAGTACTTCAGGCTGATTCTTCTTGCGGCTGCACCTTCGCAGTACTGGTAACACAGAAAGAGGAACACAAGCATGTATTATAAGATTATCTTACTCCCTAACCAGAGCATGAGCAGATGCTTAATCTGTGCAATTCGTAATTCTTCCTTGGATTTATTAATTCTTGGATTTAACAAATGATTTCACTAAGAATAGTTGTGTCATTTTCTACTAATACTGAACAGCAAAATACTCCGTAATTAGGAGCTGTTGAGCAAATTGTGAAAGAGCATCACTTTTTAAGCAAGCTGACAGAAATCCAACTGCCACAAGTCTGGGAAATTATAAAGTAAGAGTTTCTGAAACCTGAGCGCAGACAACCATTAAAAAAAGCAATTTGATTAGTTAAGGGTTCAGTGAATTTAAATGAGATCAGATGAAACAACGTCAAGAAGAGATGGGTAACTCGATCCCCGTTCTAGGCTACAATGACATCCACTTATTTGAATACTGCATTTACAGTATATCCTTCCTTTTGTTAAATACCTTATAGCAATGTAAGTTATCTAGCAACCAGCAGCATGTCATGAATCTGTCAGGGGAAGGGTGCTGAGGCTTCCTGACCCCTCTCTTCTTACTTTTACACATTTCCTTTCTGAAATGCATGCTTTTAGGCAGCGAGTCTGCTTACACACCCATTGCATTTCAGATCATTCTCATAGATACATAGATACTTGTTCTTATCCCTTTTGTACTGTCCATGGGAGGCTATAGGCCCTTTTTTGCAAGTTAACAGAACTGATTAAGTTTTGGAAATCACTTTCTCCCCGTTCATCCAGTTCTAAATAAGGACATTCCTTGTGCAGATAGAAATAATGGCTGTGATTCCTCATCTGTTCGTTAAGGAGTTAACAGCAGTTATGAGCACCACAGAATACTTTAGGAGCAACACTCAAAAAAGGAATCTTTGTGACAAAACAGTTTTGGCACAATTTTGGCTGTTTCCAAAACTTCTGAATTTCTCCTTGCTTAGTTTTAAGCCATATATAAAACATGTCACTACGCTACACAAGCAAACAAAAAAAAGAGGTCTGGCCATGATATCAGTCCTACCAGTTTAAAACGTTCTGAAAATTAATTTGCTTTATTTATTTTTTTCATGTGTGAGTCTTTTAAAAATTCTGTAGCACAGTTGTTAGTGTTAGATGTTGCACCACTGCAGTAAGAGAAAGCTCAAAATGTTCATTATAATCTAGCCATATACTGAAATATTACCATAAAATAAAATCACCAATAACTTTTTTCCATATCTCATTCATTGCCCTGAATTGCTAGGGGCAATATAATTCTGTTCATACTTCCTTCTTTAAAAAGTACTACAACACCTATACAATAAACCAATGTTGGCACAGGACAAGAAACGTCATTTGTGAATGTGTTTATTAACTTGGCATGGCCAAGGTCAGGTCTGGCAAAGTCATACAAATGAAAATCTCATAATTTGATTTTGTGCAACAGAATGTACAACTTAACAATTCACAAATCCCAAAATCAGATTTAAAGGGGAACCTAACATGTCCGTGTAAACAAAAACTCAAGTTAACTACCTTTGTTCCATATCACATCATTCCTAACATTTAAGGAGGATTTAACCAGACTTGTAAAAAGAACCACTCTGCTTTCTTTCGACACTTTTAAGAGATGAGGTGTAAATGCTACTTATCAAGAGTTCTTGGCAGTGTGGGCTGCTGGGAGGGTGAACTCACTTGCTCTGTTCCACAAGTCCAGGGTCTTCTGTGAGCTTCTCTTTGTCCTGTTCCTGTTGGGTTGGGCTGCTCTCTCCAAGGTTAGCGTCTCCATTCACAGTCTTGCTCTCTGCACAGAATGGTTACAGTGAAACAGCTGGTAAAATCCTGACGAGGCATGTATCAAGCTTAATCTCATCTTGACATTTATTTTAAGTCTTTTTTTACGTAAGGCATGCAGGATTTCATGCTTTTACGGCACAAAATATTTGTCTAAGACATATGAAACAATACTCAAATTTAAGTTGCTCCTTTTATATTATCAGGAATAATCAAGTCTTACTGTTTAAACTATTCTTATTCAAAAAGAAGTGGTAATACACTGCCTTCATTGACCACATAAGTGCCTAAAATAAGCTATTTTTAATATTTTTCTGCAGAAGAACACAGAACATTAACAAATTTAAAATACAAAGTAGGGCTGGGCGATATGGCCAAAAACATTATCACGATAAAAATTTTCTTATCAGTCAATATCGATAATTATCACGATAAATGTCAAATAATTATTTCTTTCAAGTTTAAAGGCAGATTTTTTCTCCTGAGTGAAAGTTGAAGAAACCAGACAGTTAATTGGTAAATTAAACAACTCTTTATTTTAAGAACACAACAAACACTTGCCAAACAGCAGAAACATTAAACAAATCTGAGATAGAGAGTATTCAAGTCTTTTTTATGTCAAAATATGCATGAGTAAAATTAACAAAATAAATATCTTAATAGAAAAATTAAATACTGCAGTGTGATAAAACACACATAGAAGATGTCTCAGACAGACTGCAAAGTTTAAAGTGCTGTTTTATGTCTGATTGTAAAAAGCCAAAATACCTCCAAATTACCGAAGTTGAATGACCTTTTCTGTCGATGATGTCTTCGTCCTTGGCAGCACTACATTTGCTTCAGTGTCGCTCATTTTTCCACTCTAACTACAATCCTGTCAGCCACCACCGTGTGGGTAAACACCACCACGTTAGCTGCCCGTTCTGCAACTCGCACTCGCGCAGTATTTTATGCGCATGCGCAAAGCATAGACGTATATCGAACATTTATCGAACTTTTGTTAAAGTTATATCATTATCAAATAATTGCCCAGCACTAATACAAAGTATTACCGTATCTAAGATGTACATACTTGTAATCCCAGCTAATTTGTGAACACTTAAACCTTTATATGCCAGCTTCAAGAGTCTGCCAGCTGCTGGCCTGTTCTGCCACCTCACCTGTGGTCTGCTCCTTCACCTCTGCCTTCCTCAGGCCTCCCTTCTTGGCTTCCTCATACTGCCGCTGCTCGGCCAGGGACTTATTCAACACCTGGCTGATGACAGAGTCTCCTTCCCCCACCAGGAACATGGTTTTGAACTTGTTGTACAGCATTGTTGCCTTGTCCATTATGTCTTGGCTGGCTTTAAACCTGCGAATCTGACCAAGACAAATTTCTGTGATGGACTAAACAAAAAATGCAATGCTTGCGTCTTCTATACAAATTAATATCTTACCATGACAACAGCTACTCTGTGTCTTTAAATGAAACATGCTTTACCAGTATGCCATTTTATGAAAGACTAATAAAACCAGGAAACTTAAGAGTATATGGTGAAAACATGTACAAATAAAACCAAACCCAGGTTCTGTGAGGCAGTAGCATTAACCTCCATTGTGCAACCTCACTCCCCTTAACCTTAATCCACATTCCCAAATCGTGTTATTTTAAAATCACATATGTTGTCTAATTTTGCTCATGAACAGCAGAAAATTGCATTTACAGTTCTTTCTAAAGCTTGTAAATGCAAACACTCAGATGTTTCAGTAACACCTTCAATCTGGACCACTCCGTCCAGATATTTCCACACAAAACCCACACAGAGGTCACTGGTGTTGATGTTTCTAATCTTTCAGCTGTTCCTTTCTGGCTGCTGAACTGCCATGTAATAAGATTGTATGAAGTATGAAGATAACATTTTTTGTATAAAATCAAAGCAACTCCTTAAAAGTTCTAAACCACACTCAAATTTCAATCCCAATCAAACATTTCAGTAAATAGTGGAAAAGACAGAAAGCTGATGGCTACATCTTTCCTTATAGCCAATATGTAGCCTACACTGTCCACTGGGCTGGTTATTTTAGACTTAGAACTGAGCACTTTTTGTCTGGGCTTAACTGTTCAGTGCTAAGCAGGAGAGGTAAGGCTGCTTGTGGTTTGTTAACACATCTGCTCCATAGAACTGACCGCCCACAAAACAAGGTTGAAATAAAAAGAACGACCAGGGAGACTCACTGTCTCATGAGAAACTGACAGACCTTTTTGAGAGTTGCAATCAGCTCGCTGTGCTTCTGCAGATGCTGTGTGGTGACCTGGAGTGTACCAAGCTCATCCAGCGCCTCAATACACTTCTTCACATCCTGCAAAACATATTTTCATTTACAGCAATCTACTTCTAATAATGACCTACCACTACAAACTGCCTCTCACCTATGATGCCTGCAACCTTTACTGCAGAATGTTAAGTAGCAAATATGTTTCAATAACCCGAGGAAGGCTCCACAGCCGAAACGCTGTGTTTTCTTTCTTCTCTTTTCAGCATGGAATAAACCAAATACATGCTTCAATAATGATTTCTACAATCCAACATAGCCTGGCTTCTTGTTCACCATCATAGTTGAAAGCAGATTAATAAGCTCTAGTTCCAACCATAACAGTGTTGTACAGCCAGTTTCATAGCTGATTTACAGTTACAAAGCATTTTGTACATTTAAAGCATTTACAATCCAACAATACCCATAACAGCACCTCCTGGGCAATGTCATGTGCAAGAGTCTGGAGTTAAATGCCTGACATCCAGTCTTACTCTGAAATGTCAAGCATGTACATACTTTTTAATTTAAAATAAGAAGCTAAGACAGCAATTTCAATACAGTAGGAATATCCTGTGGCCAATCCATCATTTATCATGTTCATGTCATCATTAAGTAGGAAATGCAGCAGGTAACAAAGATACTTTTGGCCACTCTAGTGTGAATTAAGTAGTTCTGGAATTGCAAAGTGTGCCTTTACAGTTAAACTCCCTATATTACAAAATAGGGTGACTAAATAGAATTAGAATTTCCTAGTCATAATGCAAAAGACAATGTTCATAAACCAAAATAAACTCAAGCATTTTTTTAACATGGTACATTATTTTAAGGTGATAATCTTCAGGCCCTATGCAATACCACTGCATTTAAATACACATCCTGCTTGTACCAGAAATGAAAACTGTCTCTAAATACACTGCATGTACAGCTATATAACCTCCCTACTAGTCACAGTACTGCATGCTTATAGTAAGCACTCGATTTGTTCTAACAAATTCTGCCATGCTTCTAGGAGGAATTGTGTGACTCAATTCCATTTTTCAAAGTGCAGCTTAGCTTCCAAATGTACAGTGTCTTAATAACCAGAGTACAAAACTCAAAAAGTGAGAAAATATTTTTGAAAAACAAGTACATTCTAAGTGGTGCAATTCCAGCTACTGCCCCTGAAACAGACTGTTCACAGAACTAAATCACAAGGGGTTTTGGCTAAATTTGATTCATCATGAACATTAAATTAAGACCTTACTTCCCAATGGTCACAAGTTCAGGTTTTACAAAGATCTGTACACAGCCTGTTCTTTATTAGCTCAGTTCAGATAGTGAAATAAGGAATGTAGATTTTATTCAGCATGACTTCATGTTTGACAAACAATTCATTATAGACACCACTGAAGTACATTAGCATATCGCATTTAGGCTAATTATTTGAAAATGTTATAAATCAGTGATTATGTTTAATATTCATGTTTTAAAGTCCATTTATGTAGTCCATAAATCTCAGTTTACAGAAGCGTGAAGAGACCTGAGTGGGTTGAGCTTGCCATCATACTAAAAAGGGTCAAAGTCATTTACACTTACAGGGCTGTCGATTTTCAGTGATATTTTGATCTCCCCGTGCAGCCTCTGCAGCCTTGACTCTGTTGACAAATCTAACAGAAGACAGCAGGAAATCTAGGTTTTAGAAAATGAAAGAACACGATCCAACACAAATGTCAGAACCAAAAACACTAAACAGTGATTGTTGTTTTTTCAGTTCCGGTCCTAAAAAATGTTATTCTCTAAATCTGAGTTCCAAGACTTTCATGTTTTTTATAGGAATGAATGAGCTACAGCACAGAGAAAGGAGTAAGATTTGACAGTAAACTGCAGGCCAGCTCTATGTAGTTAATGATAACACTCACCTTTTTTCTTGTCCATTTTCTTTTCATCCAGTTTCTTTCCCTCGTCTTTACCCTGCCTTACAAGACGAAAATATATTGCAAGTTATCGAGCAATCAACTACATTTTTAATTTAACCCAATCAATAACATACATTCATATTTTGCTATCTTAACTCCATCTACTGGCAAAATACATTATTTTCTTAGAACTCAACAAAGTCATTTGATATTTTGAAACAGACTGACTTAAGTCTCAATTCTTTCACCTGACATAGGTAAATTTAGGTCATGCCTTTATGCACATCCTGAAACAACCAATAACATATCTCATCAGTTTCAGCTCTTCCATAGAGCTTCAGTTTTAATTTTCAACACTGTTTCTATATTATTTTAATTGATGTTCCAAGTAGAGTAAAACATTTTGGTCTTTACACTTTGGTCCTAACTCAAAACTGTGTAGATAAGAAACTTGAATTTCACATACAGAGACAGATGCACTTTGGGACAAAAATGGGGATCCTGTGTCAACTAAGATTGTGGCCGGACCCACATATTAGGAAACTATTCCAAAATCTTATGAACTACTGCACATTGACTGAAATTAAACTTTGCAGATTTCCTTTACTAGTAATGCCTGAGACTTGCACCTGCAAAGATGTAGCTGATATTTCTACACGTATACCACAAATTAATTTCTTGTCAAACCACTTGACCCAATAAATTTCAAACTTGGTGGGCATCATTCTTTCCAAATTTCAGACAGCTCCTGGTTGAAAACCAGACGGCTAAACAAGTCTGAACTAACCAGGTATAGTATGACAGATAAGCTTTTTTAATTCTGACAGAAACTGCTGTCCCATTTCAAAACAGACAAGAACACCATTTCATTTTGCTGTTATAATAATAATAATAATAATAATAATAAATTGCTTACACTTATATAGCACTTTTCTGGACACTCCACTCAAAGTGCTTTACAGGTATTGGGGATCCCCTCCACCACCACCAATGTGTAACCCAACCTGGATGATGCGACAGCAGCCATAGTGCGCCAGAACGCTCACCACACACCAGCTATTAGTCAGGACTCTCAGTGCCCAGTCCTTATAGAAAACTGCTCATCTGCTATACCTTGGCCATTTAACTCCACTCCATCATCCAATTTAACCTTATCATACACGTCAAAATGATACTGTTCAGAAACTAATTACCAGGTTTGGTAATTAAATGTGAAAGGAATCTATACAATGACAATCTTATAACACTGCACCTGTGAAAATCCATATAGCCGGCAGTCTTTTACCAGCATTCAAAATGCTCATGGTCAAATACTATATAACTGATATCTTCTCATTTGGCAAATATCATAGTAGGCACCTATTAATACATTACAGACACCTAACTGTTATGTTGTTTACTGCAGTACTTCATAACCGGGACCTTAACTGTTACTTCACATCCTTTAAAGAATTAAAGACTACTATACATTCTTGCTTTGCTACTAACATACACCATAATCTTTCTGCTACTTTGCTGTTCTATATCCACAAGAACAGAACTTGTCTATAAGGGTTTGAAGTTCTTAATCTTTTTCTTAGTTAAGTTACAAAATATTCAATATAAAAGGGTTTTGAAGACTAATGTTCACTTTTTTTAAAAACAAAAACCTCAGAATGCCACTTATTAAATATATATTGAAGGTCCAGCAAGACTTCATCAATATCTAAAAAGATTATGGTTCAGTTTTACAAAAAAAACTCCAGGTTCAAAAATAGAGCCTGTTCTTTTGTCTTTTTGGAATCAAATTCCTACTAATATAAAAACAAAAACACCACAAGCTGTGCTGCATCTAGAAGCTATATAGGACTGCTTTTTGGCTAGAAAGTTAATTATCTTTACAAGGAGGGAAAAAAGCAATAAAGATGGATCATTGTTGACAGAGACATTCTTTGAATCAACAGCATTCTGTTACCCCTGTCCAGGATAAAATTAAGGTGCCACATTTGTATGCAATTAGTATCATTTTAAGGCAGCCAAGAGTACCTTGGATTTTTAATTCGGAAACATTTACTTGCAGGTAACAGCTCCCAACCCAGCTGATGTACAGTTTTTTCAATAACTGCTGAATAATAAAAAAAAAAACTTAATGGTTTTGTACAATCAACAAGAATTTGCTGGATGTAAATTTCTACCCTTTCCAAACATAACGTTTACGCGTTAATATTTCTGGGGAAAAATGAAGATTACTTTTAACTGTCCTCATGTATGTGACCCCTTGCTCGTAAAATGCATGTGTATCAGCATGTTCAGTGTCTTTTACTAAATCCGAAGAAAAACAGCGTGCAGGAAAATGATGCAAAGCCCATTTTATAGCTGTCCATGGAAATCAACTGATTTAATTCCAACTGACTTTCTTTTTTTAAGCTAAACCACATTTACAAACGTGGCATTAAATGTAATAACTTCTCATGATGCAACACAAATAACACTAAAGGCACAAGAGATTTAAAAACATTGTACGTGTAATGTATCGATTGCAATACACTACTTCTGAAATGTTCCTGCATTCTAACTGTTGCTGAACTCTGAGGGGGTTGATTTCAAAGTCTAAGGATTTAAGCAAACTAAAAATGAGTTTCAAACCTTCTTTATATTGTATATTATATAAACGAAAAAACTTCTGGTGGATCAAGTATAGGAACGATATATATATTTCCTTTTAGTTGTCAGTTTACATCACAAATCTTTCTAATTAATTTTTTTCATTATTTTCCACAAAATATTTGCTTTCTCCCTTTGTTAAAAATCACACATAACTACTTAACTCAAAAACAATACAATGTATGACTCGCCACCAGGATCACATCAGGGATATATACCTGGGGCTTGTTTGCCTGAACTAGTCAAGTCGTATTGAGGCGTTACACTTGCATGAACTTGCACATGAACTTTTTTCATGTTCGTCTTACTCCATAGAGTGGTCTAACTCAAAGGGATGATGAACAACATTTTAAGTCTTCCACATTAGTTCATTCAGCTAATGCTGTTGCAGAGATCAGTGTTCAAGGACAACTCTGTGGTGGCATTCAGAAATGGTTGTTTTCTTGAAAATGGAAATGTCACTCAGGTGTGACTTCAAGCTCTCATTCATGAGCTGGGAAGATTCCGCAGTTTGACACAAAAGAGCTAAAAAATTCTGAAAAATGTCAAAACACTTCCTTTTATTTCCCTTATTTTTCCAGCTGAGTTCTTGAGGCTGTAACTTTATCTGAAAGGAAGGATGTTATCCTCCTTGCAGTAAGAGTTCATTCAGTACAGAAAATGCCACTCAAACACTTTAGTAAGTTAGTTTTTGACACTTGACAAGCACAGGTCATGTTATTTTTTTGTCCATCTTTGCAATTGGTCCCTTAAATAAAAGTCTCCCATATGTCTTCCGCTCTATTTACAGCTAACTTCTGTAAAGAGGACAAGATGCATGTATTTGGGGCCCATGTCCACACCTACTAATTCAAACAAATATGAATTCAGTGCATGTACGTTGATATGATTGACAACTCATGACACCTGACAATTCATGTCACTCAACAGTGTATTTAATTTGATAACCTTCAGCTTTCCAACAGTTAAGGGTGACTTATGTAGTGGGTAATCTGTCAACTGCCACTTGTTTTACCCTGGGTGTTGAGCCAGAAAGCCTTCTAGGCACCTCAACAGCAAACACTGGTACAAACTTGATGAGCTGGCAATGGTTCACTACGACAGACATTTCGACACAAAATTAGTCCGGTGAAGCCTGCCTGAAATGTAGCTGTTCAAAATGCTGAAGATTTATACTCCTCCTGTGTTGCTGGGAAATGAACTCTGTAAATCTTTATGTATGTTGTCTTGCAAAACATAACTACACTAACAACATTGCCTTGTTTTCAACCTCAGTTAATTCATCCTCCTGATTCAAAACCCAGGAAGCTTTTCAATGTCCTTGGATATTTCTTCAATCCACCCAACGCTGTTGTTGGAAGGAGGAGCTTGTCCTACCTTGCAAGCTTCCGTTTATCCAAATAGCTCATGGCAGATATTTGTAGTAGTAGGAAAATCTTTTCTTCATCAAAAGGAAAATGTAAGCAGGCCTTCTAATCGCTGCTATTGATATTTCAAAGTAATTGCTTTTGCCCTTCAAATCGCTCCATAACAATTTTGGACCTTGAATCACCCAGGGTATAAACCCATACTTCACGCATGAAGAGTCATAAATGCAGCTGAAAGTTGGTTTGTTTGTGTTTCCTTAGCTCTGTGCAGTTAATCTCTCCTTGTCTTAAAAACGTAATTGCCCTTTTCACAGAAGTATTCTTTTGACAAAGCAATCCATTGCTTGATAATCCTCTTAACTATGCATTTGACAGAATGACTAACTTAGTAACTGTCATCCAGTTCCAAAAGCTAAAACTAGTCCGTGATCAAATTAACAGTATTCTCGTCATGCATTCAACAAGGTATGAGCTAGTCTGGGCATAGTTTATCACCGTCATTAAAACTTGTCCCAGTATCAATCAACAGCCAGGTGGATGCAAACCTTTGCAGTAAATCACTACTATATTTTTATTAAGTTGAAATTTGAATGTGCTAATGATTTTAGAACATGAAGCCAAAAGAAACACAATCAAAAGAAGCCAGCATATCACTTGTTCAATAAATTTAAAAGGTAAACGTTTATTAAGCAGCATTTACAGACATGATCAAATGACATTTCAGCCAAATGCAGATTTCAGAGATATTGGTTTATAAAAAATCCATTGAGCAGCACAACCTGCTGCTTAATAGAGAAGGAATGTTGAAAGCTGTTTTTTTCCCCATTTTGAGTGGAGGTAACTATGTATCTCAAAAGGTCCTTTATTTAATAGCAAAAGCCATGTGAAGTTTGGTATGATGCAGCCATTTAAATAAACTGGTACTGTGTTGGGTTGTGACACTTTCAAGTATGCATTAAAAGTCACAATAAGATTTATATCTTTTTTGACAAAGTTTGTAATTACACAAAGTCAAATTTCACTTTGTAAAAAAGACAAGGACAGCTTTGCCAGGCAATCCAGTTTTAGAGAAATCTAGCAGAATACTACAATAACCATATGTCAAGACCAAAATTACTATGATTTGACTAAACACTAGAAAAAGAATGTGGTCGCCCTCATTTTAATTTTTATTTTTGAAACAGTGGAGGTAATTTCGCACCACCTCAAAAGGTATTTTCTCTGTTTAATGGCAAAAGTCAGGGCTCAAACAGGGGAACTGTTAGTCACTAAGGGTGAACAGAATATGCCTTGGTGATCATGAATTCATTCATATTTGTGACCAGAGATTGTGGGGGTGTGCATATCAGATTAAAAATAAAACACGGTTTCACTATGAGAAAAGCAACCCATCATGAAACATTGGACATTCATTTTGTGAGGCTGTAGCTTGAAGTTTGATACCTGTTGACAAAATTCTGTGGCTTGTGTAGTCCAGTGCAACTTTGATACTATAGTTGTGGAACATGACGTTGAGGAAGAACTTCTTCGACCCATAAAGAAGAGAAATCAGACCTTGATTCTTCATTACCAATACCATTAACTGGAATGTCAAAAAAAAGTATATGACAGAAGGGACTTACAAGACAGTGGGCCAACAGAATATCAGAACTGACTGGTTGCAAGGCTTTGCTGTCATTTTGGATTTTTCTAAAAACATTCATCTTGGTGTAGCAGCCACGACGGATGACCCCATTTTTGTTAAAAGGTACTGTGTCTTGCACCCCTGAATCAATGCATCATTTGGTAAACAATCACAGCAACATTCCCTTTAGTGTTAAAATGTCATCGTAGGGGGAAAAAAAAAGGCTAAATCTGGTCGGTCAAATTACTGTCATTTGCATGACATGTTGGAAGACCACAATTTTAAAATCTGCACCTCCCCGAAACTGTCGAACAAATTAAATTAAAACGAAGCAAAACAGAATCACACTAACGTCCTACACCCTGTCACATCAGGTACGACCAAGTACTAAGTGCTTTCCTGGGCCCTGTCTAATGACTGAACCTATAGTAAAGATGGTATGATTCTAACACTGAAGTTATATAGTAATGATAACCCAAATTACTTACAACACAGCTTTATACACAAAAATAAAGCCTATACTCACCAGGTGTGTCTATTTTAGATCAAGGGCTAGACATACAAACTCAAGCAAAGTATGGTTATCATGTCTGCAAGAACTGCTGCTTGATTTTTATGTGATCAACAAAATTTTTGTGCAAAAATTGATTTTTGTGTTCCATTCATGAATTTATCAGCTGTTTCAAGGCTTGCAGAGCAGTCTGCTGTGTACTCTCTGCAATGTTTTAGCATGAATCATCATGTGATAAAACACCTGTTTACCTCTTTCTAGAGATTCTAAATTTGTAGACTCTTAAAACTATCAAGATAAAAAGGATAATTCCTGGCCACATTATGCATCATATTCCTTAATTAGATTTGTACCATCTGCAACTGGATTGCTAAGTGCTCGAAGATTGAAGCTGCCACTTGCAGGTTGTACTATAAGCAGTATCTGGGGCACAAAATCTGTAATTGAAGGGATACAGAGCTTAAATTTCTGTCGTTATCAATGCTGAATTTGGAAGACACAGCACAGCAAGTCACTGCAACTTTGCTATAATATTCACAGCATGTCATCTCACGAAATGTTGATGTTCATAAAATATTTTAACTACTCATTTTAGGGAGCTCCTAGTTTTCTTTCCCTTAAGGAAAATGTTTCAAATTTGTTTTTTACATTTTTGGTATTATCAAGAACATGGCTCGAAGATATCAAATACTGCATTTGGTAAACTGATTTCCATGTAACATTGGAATATGAAATACTGGGCAACTATCTGTCATCAGCAACTAATTTAGGAGATATGAACATTTTTTTTAAATAATTTCAGTCGTGAGCATCACTGAGACAAATCTTGCTATCCCTCCATCAATGTGACATGGAAATCACTCTGGAGAACCTAGTCGAGGTACACGGAAAGCAAGAACTATAGTAAGTATTCCTTAAAGGATAGAGAAATGATTAGCCAGAGAAGGAAACCACACTCACTCAGTTGCCTTCTGGTCCTCCTGTTTGCGCCGCCGCTCATCTCTGTCCATCTCTAAGGAGTCCTGTTGCGATTTCAACAGATTGCGCCTTCTGGCTGCCGAAAACCTGTCATTCTTGTTTTTCTGTTCATTTATTTTTTTTAAAAAAGCAAAGGAACATTGGAATCCACCCACGTTTCATTATCTCTTATGTGCAGGTGCAAACTGCATTAAACCACTGTTATAAGCATATAAATAAAGGGAGAATCATGGCTCCATTGTCTTTATTAATCTGAGAACTGTATGTTTTGAGATCTACATCACAAACTACGGCTCTTGTGTGAGTTTGGTTCTCACTGTAATAAAAACATTATAACGCAACTGACACAACATTATAACACAACTAACACAACACAATTAAAGGCTTTACAGTAGTGTAGAAAAGATCAAACGTATCACATACATAAAAAAGCAACAGCTCACAAAATCAGTGTTTAGACATAATTCAAGCCAATTGTCTTTGTATGTGGTAACTCAGATTGGCCAACAGTTAAGGCCCTGCCGGGGCGCCTGGCCCTTCAGGAAAGACTGTTCTCTACTTGCCTCCTCATCTTCCTCCGACTCAGACGAGGTTTCCCCTTTTGCATTTTTCCTCCGTTTGGCCTCAGGCTCTTTCTTACCATTGGCCTCCTTGGATTTTTCTTCTTCTTTCCTTTTTCTGCCATCAGTTTTCTTTTCCTCCTCCTCTGGCTTCAGGCTTTTGGCAGGCTTCTCTTCTGGCCCTCGCTTCCTTTTCTTGTCTGCCTCACTGGAATCCCTGACAAAACAAAAATACAATCACTTGAAATTTACTCAAGACACTTTGGCCTCTGGCTGCAAACTGTGCCTTTTTCTTAAATGTTTCAGTTTTTCCTTTGTGCCCAAATTACTGTATGGTATATGTCAATGAAGAAAACTCAATTAAAGAGAGAGTTTTTTTCTTCGGGGAATATTACCGACTACAGTAGGTAACTTTGGAAGTATCTATAAGCATTTAGATACAATGGTATCTAAATTCCTAGCTAGGGTAATGCCTAGTTAGTGTCAGCATTTCTACTTCTTAGAGCTTTAAACTCAAGAAGTATGTTCTTGAGTTTACCGAGCTGAGATAGGTGTGAGAAACATTGATCAAAAGAATCCTGTAGTTTACCTTAGTTAATTAAGTTCTGGGAAAACGATTAAAGCCAGTGTCACATTACAGGACTTGACACGACACCTAGTCGGAGAGCACATCAAATTTAACAATTGCAGTTGCTCCATCTTGTTGTCTTTTCTGTCCTAGAGGGTGTCAAATCATATGACTAGGAATCGCAGGGGGTGACTAATTACACGATTCCCTCACGACTTTTCATCATGGTTCCAAGTCTTATATTGCGCCACAAAAGTACCACGAGGTCATTTTATTTTGGCAGCCAATCAACGTGGAGCACACAGAAATAAGAGGAGGAGTACCGCACAAAAGTAAGCAACAAACATGAAACATTGAACAGACATCTGTGCGGGCTCCAAAGTACGACAAGCCTCTTCTCCATTTGCACAGTCCAAAACACTCGCTTTCCTTCTTTCAATGCAGCCGCATTGTATGAATTTTACTTTCGGTTGAGCGCTCAGTGGCTGTGACTATCACAGACACAAGAGCCTAACCCTACGACTTGCCGCTGGCTACAAGAAAATCAAACCTGCTTGATATTCAAACAGATGTCAAACTGATGTTAAAAGGTACTCTTGCAGATCAGACATCATCAGAATACAAGAAATCCTAAATATTGCCAACTTAACCACATTTTCTGACTCCACACCAGGATAAAACTTCAATCCATCTTTTATTCTGGTGGTACACCACCCATTCATCTCATCTCCATATTCTTGATTTTCAACGATACTACGGCTGAAAGGGGATGTCTGTCATTTTAATTTTTTTAGAACAATGTTCAACATCAACAGCTTTGCTGTCCAAGACAAACCATGGGTGACAAACCAATGATATTTTACCATGAACACGAAGGGTACGGTCTAGATTGCTTCAGAAAACAGATTCCTTTAATACATGAATACGTAGGTTCTTTACTTATTCCAGTTATACCATGCTTGTCATGCTAAATGGATGCTCGGCAGGACTGGAAAGATTATTAGGACTGAAAGTACAACTGACAGAGCGAAGTAGAGGCGAATTCTAGAAGCAAACCGGTTCTTCAGCAAAGACTTCACCTTTCAGTGGGACAATGATCCAAAGTAAGTGCAATGTGTTAAAGGAGACAGTGGAATAGTTACATTTCACTTCCAGAGCTGCGGGGATCAGTGGGGGCCATCTGCTGCTGCTGTTGTAGTAACAGCATCTTCTCTGCCTTTGGCTTCCTCCCTCTGCGCTTGGGAGTGGGTACCTCACTGCCTACAGGAGGGCAGACAAAAATCAATACTTTCTCTTCCCAGCACAGCACTGTAACTTCCCCCCAAGAACAGAAACAAAAACTAGTATATACAAGTCACAGTTAAAGCATGCTCTTCTAGGTGAGTTACCTGGAGGGCTTGAAGTTGGGCTGGTAGGGATTTCCTCTTTCTCCGAGTCTTGTTCCACTTCACTCTGTAAAGACATTTTCATTATAACAGGCTGCGACTGACTGATTTTCAGAATCCCATAACAAGAACTTGTCATGGCAGAATTAAATGCACCATTTAGAAAACAAAAGGTAATACCTCACCTTCCATCCACACAATCAGGGCAATGCTAACTTGCCCTTATTGTATAAAGTTAAATTTTTCTTCAGGTCACTAAATACCAAGTGCCATAATTATGCATGTAACTCCTCTTCTTGGCCTCTGAACTGGAAATTTTCAAAGTTTTTTTACATGACCTTTGCATAAATAAAGTATGATACAGTATATCTGTACAGTTTTTTACCTTTGCCTGGTAAAATACTGTAAGGCCACATGCTCTAAAGGTTATTTGTAACAAGTCAGAAACAAAGTTGAAAGAGCAACAGAAAGTATCTTAAAGGGAAGGACGACATGAACAGAACTAAAATTGAGATTTTAAAAACCAGAATAAAGTCACCCTAAAGTAATTTCTGTGCACCCAAAGCCTGATAAAAATCAAACCTTGTGATATTCTACAGAACCAAGCACTAAGAAGACAACAAGGTGCCTACAGTTGAACTTCAGCTCCTGTATCAGGCCCATAGCTGACTCTGGTATCACCTGTAACCTTACTTAAGAATAAGTTCATCTTAACATTAAAGCTCTTACTTTTTGAAAAATGATTTTTCCTTTCCTCAAATCAAACAACTTTTCAGCCTAAAAATATTTTTTTCTGTTACATCTATTGAGTCAGACTTAAAATTAAACCAGCCACCTGAGACACTACACATTTAGGAGACAACTGTGAGATTTTGCATCAAACCCCTTCATCAAAACTAAGACATTAGCAGCACTACCCGCTCCTCGACAGCACCCCTTCCACTATAGTCGTTCATTCATACTAATGCAGCTGCTTCTCAGTCAAGGATAATTTCAATACTCAGCAGTCTTTGGATCACACCACAAAGCCTTATCATTATTGCTTACAAAGTGCAAAAGAGTGAGAAGCAAGTAGATATTTATATATTGAAGCCACTCAGTGCACATATTAAAAGAATTTACCAGCTGTCAGTTAGCTACAGCACAGTGCTCTGTTGATCTGTGAATATAAGGCTTCAATTCCCATATAATTTCATAAAATTACATTTTGCCACCATTTTGTGGCTTGGGAATGGCAGTCCTATAAATGTTCACATACACAAGCCGTTGATAGGGCACTTCAAATTCTGTCCACATCTGATGATACAGTTATCAGATTTTGAAACTGCCACACAAACCGCTGACATCAAATTTGGGATCAGGGTTTCCTCCCCCATACTCCAATTCCAGGTCAACAAATCAGCTAAATCTGTCCGAGTGCATTTTGATCTTGCCGTCACAAAATTAGCAATTAGATTACAGTATCTCAAGGCAGTTAATTCTGGGGGGGGGGACAGTCTTGCTCATATGCAGTTGTATGTGCATTGTTGTAATTATTAGGTCTTGGCTAACAAAGTAATTCATTACCGACACTAAACATTTAATAAAGTGACAGCCCGAAACAGTGTTAAAAATGGGTTCTGCTTTGACAGTAAATCTGTACATCACCATTCATCACCATAACTTCAACTTCTTTAATGTGTCAAACGCATGCTGATGGAAAGCACTGAATCGAGTTCCATTCTGAATAGAAATCCTTCCAACATTTCAGAAAAATGCAATTTTAAGGAGGAAAGCCCAATCGCAAAGGTATCTTATCTTTGCTCTGGAAACTGTATTTCAAATGTAATATTGCTGAATCCAGTCATAGAGGCATCCATATCCAACATGTGTGCAGACAGACTGGTATATGGGAACACTTGATGATGATGCTAAATGAGATTTTTACCTTTTTCTTTCTCCCTCTCTTGGCTTTTACTGGAGTTTCTGGAGTTCCCTTTTGTGCTGTATCCTAAACAAATGTGAGATAGGAATTAGCGTACCCACTCAGGAAATAAAAACCTCATTTATACAGAATGCTGGAACACACAGAAGAGCTCCTTTGAGTTGAACCTGATGATATAATCTACAAGTGTGTATAAGTGTATGACGTGAGGCGACAAATTGCACATCGTTTTAAGAATAGTTTATCCTATTACACTCAAATATCTGTAATAACTGCTCATGAGGTACATCATGTAAAACTTCGGATATCAAGAACATTCCGAAACACCTTCACTATCATAAAATGACAAATCAAGAAGGGGAACCAAAGGTCTTTGCTAACACTAGCAAAAACTATTGCTACTAGTTACAAAAACTACGTCTACTGCATTGTGTCAAAGTGGGTTCTACAATAGCTCCGATATATAAACATTTTTTCTCATTTATTTGAACACTCGGAAGTTAAACGATACTTTAGAAAAATAATTAAACTGAATTCCAAGGAACTAAACTGTGAAAACAGATCGACTTCCATGAAGGCAGTGACATTCTCATTCATTTTAGACTAAAGTTCTATGATAGTAAAATCAGGAAGCTTAAAGAACTGCAGTACAAATATTATTGACAACATGATTACACCATGAATGAAAACATCTATGCTTTTAATAAATCCTAAAGAATATTTGTAATTATACACCTGTCAAGTTTTGGACTAATCCAACACAGGCACTGGAAATACAAAATTAAATGGTTTGTGTGTGCCACCTAGTGGAACACAGTCATACTGCATGTATTCTAAAAATAAGCAGTCAAATCTTGAACAGAAAATGCTGGCAATAAATCGTATTCAGCCAACTGGAAGAACACTCAACCACAGCCCAAAACATCCAATTTAAGACTAGTTTATAACCTTCTATTTGAAGAGGATAAAATTAAATGATGGACATTTTTGGACACTTCAAAATGGAATACAGGATCTTAAGGCACTTATCCCTTTCCACTGTCATCATACTTTTAACCATGCAGGATTTTAATAAAATGTGTTGCTTCTAATGTTATTTTACTATGATTAACAGTTCTTTAAGATATTGCACAACTTCAGGTAGTACTTCAGACAGTATTTTGAAATCAAAACTAATTTTCTTCACATTTCATTTAGCTATAAATCATAATGCAACACACATTATCTGGGGAAACAGTGACCAAGAAGTTTCCTGGGGAAAATTATAGATTGTGTTTGCAAACTGAACTACTTCCTGTGGCACTCTCGACAATCGTCAAGGAAGTTTCTTTTGCTATTCCAAGGTTAAGGGGGAACTGCAGTCCCAGTTTCTCAGACTGGTTATCAAATCTTAGTAACAAAAATCATTAACTGATGTTTTCTCAAAATTCTTGAAATTGTGCAAAATTGTGAACTTTGTGAAAGTACTGTATGGTTGCCATGTTGATGTTGGCGGACAAACTGCTGGTCTCGCCATAGTCGAGAGCGATAGTCTGAGAACTGTGTTGTGAAAGACGCCCTTCCTGCTCACTAATATTTTTGGTGAACCCACGTGTATATTTTAATCGCTGCCTCACTGTCAAGCATTTGGCTGTTCAGAAGGTAAAGGTCACACACAAAATAGAACTGGATCAGCAGAAACTCAAACTGTTTCCTTTGCCAATGACTGCTCAACTAGCCAAGAGATGGGTAATAAACATGGTCATACGTTTTGACTAGATTCAGAGTGTAAGATCGATAAAGCAGACATTTCACCTCGGAAATGTCCAAAGTGATCTGCATGCCGAGTTAACAAGTAGTAATTGTCGGCAAAACTGTCTTGAAGTCGATATCTTGAATCGAGATCAGTTGCACTAATTCAAATCAGCTGTTCAGACTACAGCGCAGCAACCCCTGCTAGAATCTTCCTTTTAGGTGTGATTTACCATAAAATGAACACAAATGTAAATGATTGAGTACTTTTGCAATACATGAAAATGCTCATGTCACCTTGTATGTGTTGGTTTCATACAAATATTTTAAATTAATATAGTAGAAATATTCATTTGGTCTAAAACTTGCATACAGTGAAACAGGGCCGCTTTTGCGTCACCAAAGTGTTGTTGCCTCGTTCTTAATTGCAGGCAATGACAGCTCTCATGATGTAAACTGGAGGTTGTACACATTACCATGTCCTTGGTAGTTTCACTGTGGATTAAAATGCATTCATCATTGCCAATTCATTATACCCCCAACATGTAAAAATAGTGTTGTGGCTTCCCTCTAGTGAGATACATGCACTCTAAAGACTCCTCTCTGAAGGCATAAATTTGAACAATTTCCCCTACTTTTTTTCCCTAACTTTTCAGGGAATTATTCTACACTGGCCAAATCCAAAAGAAGGATAGCATCAGGGAACAGAAAGGAAGGAAACTGCCCAAGATTTCTGCATACAAAAGTCAGGAAGATTTACCACCCAAAGCAGAAAACATCAATTAAATACATTTCCACTTTTGTTTTTCTTGTGGTGCAATGTAATGTCCAACCAAGATTTACACCTCCAAGATCTACAGAAATTGGGACCTACTTTTAGGTTTCCAAGAAGCTATGTTTTAACTGCGGAATCTGAGAATTTTCTTTAAATACCAAAAGTATTCAAGAAAATCGCATTGCTACAGAACACTGAACTTCTTGGAAAGTATTTCACTCCTTCAAAAAAAAAAGGCTTGAATTATCACATTTTTCAAGAATGACATGTTCCTCAACAGAGAAAGTGAAATCCGTGCAAAATGAATAATGTCTAGTTTAGGTATGTTCAAATAAAATAAGTTAGAGCCACCAGATCAGTGTGAGTAATGTTGCTACATCTTAATTTCACATTGCATGCCTTTTTGAAAGTAGTCAACATGTGGTGAAACTCTTTCATACAGAAAAAGTTATTTGATTCCAGCGAACCCAAGAGCATGCAATGTACGTACATCGGCAGACTCGGGCAAGAGCTCCGAATCTTCCATGACCCCTTCGGTCTCCTCTTGCTCACCCTCAGCGTCAGCCACAGCCAAGCGAGCACGTTTAGCAGGGACCTGAGACAATACCAAACACAGTGGGCCCCACCTTGGGTTAGTGCAGTACAGCCAAGCACAGCTCTCTGGCTCAGAGAACAAGCGATGTGCCCGACTGGCTTGTTCATTAAAAAGCATTTCAGTCTCATTCCTCTCAAGAGTTGTACCAGGTATATTGTGTTGCAGGACACAACGAATACCACCCATGGAAAACCATCCTTTTCGTGATCCATTTTCAAGACCCATGTCATGATTGATCTAGGTGTGCAACTGGAGGACTTGATCTTGGTGTCTGCCATAATGACAGAATGTACTCAGTTTTCCAGTAACAGTTTTTCCCCACACATTCCACCTTCAGAAAATCACACATTTTCTGGAAATTTGTGAACAGACACCACCGTCATTAATAGCTGAATTAATACAAGCTCTGTTGGTCCATGTGAACATCTCTTATTTAAACAAAAACAAAAAGAACAGACTATTATTGTCACTACTGCAATAAAACACAAAGTAAAACCCTGACCTGCTTTCCAAATAAAATAACCGATGACCAAAATACAATGGGGAGATTCAAGACATCTCTAGCAAACTGAACCTGCCATCAAGTCGCTTCATAATTGGTGGGGAGAATCAAAAACAGATTCATTTCAGGCTTAACTTCCAATTTCCTGCTAGCAAACTATGCCCTCCCTTACGTGGAAGATTTCCTTTTCCCTTTCTTCTCTTCCTCCTGTCTGAAACAAACTTCTTTCCTGTCCTAGTTCCCACTGGCCTCATTGCACTGCTCTGCAGAAACTAGGTGTTTGCAACTATAGAGATTGTAATGGATAATGGCTTTGACCTGAAAAAACTGTTCATGTGGCTATAATTGTGCAGAAACAAAAATATTCAGATAACAATCTCACATTAATAACAGGACCATCTAAAAAATATTATATATCTCATGTTAATCTCAAATGGGTACTTTCTTTCTGGAATATTTTAGAATTAGCACTTCTTGCTAAACTTGCATGATTATCTAAAGAAGACATGGTAGCGCACTGGTTAGCATTGCTGCCTAACATTGCTGTGCTTCCTCCCACATTCCAAAGATACACTGCTAGATTAATTGGCTTCTAGTAAAACTGGCCCTAGTGTTTCCTTGTCTTTGTGTGCCCTGCAATGGACCGGTGGTCCCATTCAGGGTGTATCCCCGCCTGGTGCCCTTTGCTTCCTGCAACCCTGCTGTGGATAAAACATGTGGATAGAAAATGGATATTTAAAGTCAAGATCTTTAACAACAGATCAGAAAATGTCAACCAAAATCTCTCTTGGGACTTGTATTTCTGGATCCTTTGTTTTTTACAGTGTTTGAAATGCACAGTCCAAGCCTTCAACCCAGTTCGGTCTCAGCTGTTCCCATCTCATTTTTCTTCTTTGTAATACTGGAGCTGCTTGTTGGGAGCTAGGCATTTGCTCTTGTATTGACCAGGGGCAAAGCAACAGCCCCCATCACTCTATGCTATCTCCACTATTTTTAAACTGTATCATTGGAGAATATGGATGGTTCATCCACCAATGGGGAGCAAGGGTAGAGAATGAACAGGTTCAATGAACTAGGAGCAGAAAGTCAGGCAGCAGAGGAGGAAAGCAAGAGGCAAGAGGGGATTTGCATTGTATTAAATAAAGCAATTAAGTACAGAATATTAGAAATTACACAGAAGTACATTGTTTATTTTCAGGCCTTTAAGTCACCTATTGTCATGTCTGGAGATCTATTAATGAATCGGCTCCTGAAACCTGAGGAAGATGGCACTTTTACACAAATTAAATACAGAAGCATTAAGAAACCCTTACCTTTTGCCCAGACAGCTCGACTTTAGGATTATTCTCAATCTCCCAGAGTCCTTCATTGAAACCCTTTCTTTTGTTAGGTTTACCATATTTTTCTTTGTTTGGCAGGTAAGGAAAGATGTCTTTGGGGCCCAAGAATGCACTGCAAAATTAAAACATGGAAAATAATTAACTATATATTAAAAAAAAACTTCAACTTCTGACAGTACAAAGGATGGGCATTACAACAGAACCAATCATTCTCTGTATGAAAATACCACATATTGCAGAGCATGACTAGGCTCAACCTACAGCATTTTCCTCCAGGAACACCAAAAAGAGAAATGGACATAACTCATTCACATACAGTCAAATTGAAAGTACCTCAGTACATCTGAGGTGACTTAAATTCCCCTTAAACATGGTTTAAAAGTTGCCTTTCCAAGTATTTAGTTTCACCCATTGCACTGCTGACCAATTTACTATGCAAGAAAGCAACTATTTCAAACCTTTATGCTAATAAAGAATCAATGACAGATGCCTCTGTAACACTTGATAATATACTAAAAACACAAAAGAAAAAATAGGAAAGTGAATATAATAATTAATATAATATAAAATACGTGAGACAGGAGCAGATCAGTTATGGGGCAAAAGTTTTTTGGACTATATTCAACAAAAATACACTTTCAATCTGCTACTCCAATGTTACGTTCTTGACAATAACCTCAGAAAAGCTCATTGATGATCGGATGGCACAGTGGTTTGCAGTGCTGCCTCACAGTGCTGGGATCCAGGGTTCAATTCTGGACCCGGGGCCCTATCGGAGTGGAATTTGTATGTTCTCCCTAGGTTTTAAGTACGTTTCCTCTATGTGCTCTGGTTTCTTCCCACAGTCCAAAAACCCTGGACTGGTAGGTTAATTGGCTTCTTGAAAAATCATCCCTAAGTGTGAGTGTGTGCGTCCGCACTGCGATGGACTGGTGTCCTGTCCAGGGTGTACCCTACTTTGTTCTAGGTGTATGCTGGGATAGGCTCTGGCTCCCCCAAGACACTGACTTACAAGAAGCGATAAGAAATTGTATGGATGGAAAACAAGCCATCTTCCAGTAGTACTTTTTTCCCCTCTGTGCCCCTGTTTTGTCACTGTTGAAAACCAGTCACCCTTCGATTATTTTCGAAAGCACAACTGTGCAGTTTTGGAAACTTGTATCATGAAAAGGGCAGTTTTACAATACAAGCATACCTATTCCTGGCAAACGGTGCTTAAACACATTCTGATACCAGGAGTCTGATACCAGGAGTCATAAAATCTAACAGCCGGTTAGAGTTCAGATTGGGAGTGCACTATTCAAGGCCTTCCTCAGAAAATGTAAAACAATGAGAATCTTTTATTTAAGTGTTTAGCTACAGGTGGGTTAGGAGACAGGAGAACACAGATAATCAAAGGAGGTTTCTAGTGGGTTAAAAGGAACAAGTTAAGGTTTATTCCATGCTAAAAAGATAAGAAAAACAACGTGTCCTACATGAACTACTTCCAGAGGTTTACTCTGGTTAACCGTAATGAAGGATAAATATCAACAACCATAGACACAGCATAAATTCAGAGACAGAAAAGAGAGCGAGAGAAGGAACACCCTCTTTCTTCTTCTTTCCCAAAGCTTAGGCCACGAGAGGACATTATTCTGATCAGTCCTGGAGACTGGATTCTAGCAATGAAATCTGTTCACTACTATAAAGAGCTCGCAATCTAATTTTAGGAAGATCTTTTTTCCTGAATTGTGGATCAGACTAAAAATATTATCTCCAAGTTTCTATTAATGCATTTTTTTAGAATAGGAAAATAGGTTTCCCTTCAGTTTTTGGCAAGTTGCAGGAAGGAGATTAAGTCCTCAGTAGCTTTCATTTAGTATGATGCAGGTTCTTCTCTTTGTGGCCTGTTTAGGTAGCACTGTGTTTTCAGATTACATGGAATTGTGAGTTTCTGGGGTTACAGAATTCTGAAACCGATAGATACACCCACTACCAGAGTTACATAAGGGTTATGTAAAAACCTGAGGAACCAAACCCATATCTTCCATAAGTCAGAAGCAACCCTTTCGTAGCCATTGCCTGAGCACATATAATTACCATTCATGATATTATATCAATCCTCTCTTATTTGCCCTGGCTGTGTCTGAGTGAGGAAGGAGGGACAGGACAGCAGAAGTGCAGGCTGACCAAGGGTTTATTGTCCTTTAATGATAAACACGTATCTGTGAACCATTGGGTGGGGGGGGGCAGAGAGCAAGACTATCAACGGACTTACAATTCAGGACCTAACCGTCTGCCATTTATTTAAGAAATGAAAATTATGAATGGAAAAGTTCCTGGTATTAGAATACCTAAACACCACATCTAGCACAATCTTCAAATATAAGCAGTAAATTAGAATTACTTAAATTGAGGAAAAAAAAGCCCGGCATCCTGGACAGATTTCCTATTGGCCCTTACCAACCATGGCCTCCTAATAATCCCCATTTATGAATTCACTTCCCACTGATAGCTGATGTGTGGTGAGCGTTCTGGCACACTATGGCTGCCGTCACATCATCCAGATGGATGCTGCACATTGGTGGTGGTGGAGTCCCCATGGAGTCCCCATTACCTGTAAACTGCTTTGAGTGGAGTGTCCAGAAAAGCTCTATATAAGTGTAAGCAATTATTTCATTATGTTATATTGTGCAGTTGAGTAAACTTGAAATAGAATACACAATAATAAGATCACTTAGGTGCCTCCCTGACAATTACAATACAGATTACTTACAATTTTCAGAGAAAAAGCACAAGACATTAGGCACACGTTACTATGCATGTGAAAAGATCAGGCTGAAGTGTAAAACAGATACCTGAGAGAGGCTGGTAGTGACTCCATTCTATTCATTCATCAGAACTGTCAGACACCTAACTTATGTTTTTGTAACAGCATACAAACATGATGATTACGAACTCAAAATAATAAAATATATATAATTTAATAAAATTCCTTTTTAATTGGTCCACATTAATAAACACATTAATAAAATGATCAAATAAATTTACATACAGAGCTTCAGAGATTTTTTTTGAGGGAATTATACATGTAACTGACCAATGGGGCACTTAAAACATGCCTATTTTACACCTAAGTTTATTTAATAAAACACCTTAAGTTTTATTAAACATGTAATTAAAAATTAAAATGTATAAGAAGACATTTTTATTCCACTTGACAAGACAGTAATGTATTTTCAAGAGTTTGACAATCAACGGTTAATCATAAACTTGAAGACACTTTTCAGCCATTATGTTGTACTTGATAATTATCAATTCAACAATTAGGGAATTTCATACAATATATGGCTTATATATACACTGTATAATGGCATAGACTGGAAGGTTTACTAGCTGACTACCCCGGCCATGAGGAAAAGATAATGTTCCCCTCTTTTATGGATGATAATGCTCAAATAGAACTAAAACTTGACTGCATAAAAAAATGTGGAAAACCCTATTTACCCAATTTAAGAGTTTTTCTTTTGTTTAATCAAAGGTGAGGGATCATGCTATACAAAAAGAAAACCCTTATCCGATTACCTGTCCTGACCCCTGTTGTATGTAAAACATTCTGAAGGAAAACCATACAAACAGAAACAGAGCAGCTAATGGATTGGCTGTTTCATCTGTGAACACAAATCATACACATCTGATTGTTAGCAGGTTTTATTTAAAACAGCAAAATCAAAACATTAAGAGGGTAGAGGATGTTTTGTAACAATCCTGCTTATTATATGCCAATAAATAAGACACTGAAATCATTAAAAAAATGACTGGTTTAAAAAACCTGCAAAAGGGCCAAATCACCTGTCAATAACTTTTCAGTCAGTGGAGTCTTTCCCAAACTTTGACTGACCACCTTTCAAGACTAGCAGTATAACTAGAGCATTCACAAAATAATTAAGAACAATGCAAAACCACCAAAACAATATTGAGGGGTTAATTACTGAACACAAACAACTATAAGCATTTTTGGATCATATAAAGTACTCCATTGTCGGTTGTGTTTCACAGATCTCTTTGATCTGTGGACCTCGTCATTCCATACAGCATAAGAACAGAACCTTAAATGATCTGCGGAAGGAATAATTATTTTATTTTAAAAATCCACTCAGGCCTTCAGCATTTTACATGGCAGAACATTAGTCAAATGAAATGTGGATTGAAACTGAGCCCATGGATTTAGGTGCACATCAGTGAATAGCCATGACCCCAATGCATAATCTGCAGAGAACAAGTCTCACAAGACATTTAGGACAACGTAATTTAAAACGCGTTGGATTATGTAGCATGGACACAGAAAGCCATGTCAAAGAGTCCACAAAGCAAGCAAACACTTCGGCTATATCAGAAATGCATACATTTCTCTGAACTTCAACGAACATTAGCCTGACTTTACTTTCTGTGCATGTGCAGAACATATCAATTTCTTTACCATCTCAGAAACTATTTTAGCAATATCTTAAAGAATTTTGAAAGGACGTGCATCACAGACCACGATTTACTCATCTTTACTTACTCATTTTAAATACACACGATACAGGTCTGTGTTAAAGTCACAGGGTTAACCGTTACCGAAATTGTTCTGAGATAATCACCAAAAAGGAGAAAGCCTACTCATCTTCAAACCAACAATCACATGAACTGTACCCAAAACAAACATGCCTACTGCGGAACGTGTCTAGTGGATTTCATCAACAGACTTTTCTCCCCAGACAATTACTGCTGCTTACTTTCATTTCAGCTTTATAAAAATATTAAATAAGGGCAAATGAAAGAGGCATTTTATTTTTAAATAACTATACTATGATAAAATTTAATTAAAGAACAGGCTGGTAAAGTCTAGTGCTAATGATTTTACAGCATCCAGTGCTGCAAGATGCTAGAGCAGTCTCTATTTTACAAATCTTGAATAATGAACCATTTTATTATTCAGCTTCAAGTTCAGGTTTCACAGTTTCAAGCTCAGAAATAACATTTCTCCTTAATACTACTGTAAGCGTAACACCAGTTTCACAATTAAAATAAAAAAAAAATACTAGAAGTATAGCACATCGGTGTCTAATAATTTATGACCATTCTTGACCACTCTTAGAACTGTAAACTCGAAACTACTTACGTCTCATGAGTGCCAAAGAAAAATATAGGAAGTTTGGCATTGGATGGCTTCACAGCTCCATCAGGAACTTCATCAATCTAGAGAGAGAGGAAAAACAAACAGCAAAACACACTCACAGTTCAGACAAGAATGTGTGAAAATCAAGACAACATCAAGAGCAAAAGCACACCTATGAGAAAAGGTCAACTTTAGTGGGAGGTTATCAATCCATTTTGCAGAGAAAAGCTTTCAAGACTGATTGCCCGCTATAACAAACAAGGTATCTTAAGTACAGATGATTAAATTGACTAGTTTGTAAACACCTGCTTATTTTAGTGCTATAGATAGACTGAAACCAGAAAATAGAGATTCCAAATCGAATTCCTATATGGGTAGATCACTCCAACTACACCATCTACTGCTTAAGACCTGAGTTACATACGTTTTTAATGTAACTTTTCCTGTATCTTTAATTGAGAAAAAAAAATTCACTACCCCCCATCCCCACACACTGCGTGAAAGATGTAGGCTTCTGAAAAGTGCACAACTGAATTATCTGCCCCTTTCCATACTCTTAGGCCACATGATGTCTGCAGAACAGCATCTTCTGGAAGACTGATTCAGCTCAGCCAGTTACAGGGGTCACACTGGCACAAAAAGCACTGACTGACTCATGTCCAACCCAAGCCCCCCCAGGCACATGACTAATTCTGCACCTCATCACAGTCAGCATTGAAAAAAGGTCCAAATGGCATCGTTTAGTTAAAATGACTCCACCCTGGCCACCAAAACAACAATTTTAGTGGAGTATATAAATAGTTTAATTTCAATGCGACAGCAATGTTTTTTAACCAACTATCCTGTAATCTGATATAAATCAAGCCCGTGTTGCTTGCTAGAAGCAATAAAACTGCACAACATTAAAAACAGCTATTCAATGAGTTAAGACCTGTAGTGCAAACCCGAACATGATATACAGTTTGTGATCACAATTAAACCATTTTGTACTTCTTATTGTGTATTGTTACAAAACTATTCACCTTGCAATGACGTCCAGTTTTGTTGAATTTTAAAAAAGATAGACTTTCTAAAGTGAATAGATATAATCACAACTTGGATGCTCAAACTGCATACTTTTATGGATGAAAGAAGTTAAAAGTCAGCAAACACTGTTTAAGAAATAAAAATCAAGAACTTAATACAAGTCGATATGTGGTGGGGGTAACTACTGACTTTGCACAACAGAATTACATGCCAGTTCTTCTGTATACATGTGCTTAAGTGTTGTCAAGTTGACTGGGGATCGCTGATGGACAGAAATTCTCAAGTCGGCGCTAAACAAGGAAAATCACTTTCTTCTTAAGCCAGGTATTTGGTGATCCTTCAGGATTTGCCTGTTCTCCCCCCATCTAAGTTCCCATTAGCCTTGACAGGCTTTCGAGGCTCTGCTGATGGGAAACTGCCCTATAACACAACGCTGCTACCATTTTTGACAGTAGGTAGGCTGCCGAGATACTGAGGTTGCACCATATATTTATAAATAAATGTAACACCTCAAATTTCTATAAGAAAGTTCCCATCCTGTCTCATCTGACCACAAAACGTCTTGCCACATTTGTAGCAGTACCTTAATGCCCCATTACAAACTAAATACAGGATCTGATATGGGCTTGCCACTCTGCTTTACCAGTCAGTGTTCTGGAGTAACCAGAAAAGGTTACTTACAAATATCTTTTCCCCATCTCCACCATTAAACTCTGCACCAACTTTCAAAGTTGACATTGGCCTTGCAGTTTCTTTACCTGACTATGCAGTTTGGAAGAACAGTCTGATCTAGGCATTATGTGGGTGGTACATTACACCTTGCACTTTTTATTGATCAGCATCTCCCCGCTCAAAGGACTATTCGAAGTCATCTTCATGGACTGTTTCATTGCAACTGAGAAATCAGATGGGTGCTTCTAATCTGAAATCATACGAACCACCGTTACTGGATACGGACAGAGGCGGTTCAATTCGATATGCCACTCGTCCAGGTAGTTTTGGGTAAAGTGTTGCATACCAATGCAACAAAAGTTTTTGCTGACATTTTACCAAAGGTGTGCAGTTTAAGCCTTTAGGTTTTATTTCAAGGGAATATTTCTAATAAATGCCCTCACTTTTTTCGAACAAAATGGGCCATCAGCCGATGAATGTGAATACTTTAAGGCACTGTGGACTGAAAATCGCGTATTTTAAGGGCTGTCTGTTGTTTTCACTGTACTAAACCTAACGTATATTTACAAAGCAGTGTTCTGCACTTTATACTACCTTCCAAGTGATACTATTTAATCTACAGTATTGGTTTATATTCATCAACTTCACATCTTTGTGAAGGAATCCAATGTGGCAATGGTTTTCTATGGACATCTACAGGGGCACTAAATGCCTGTTTTTGTTACAATTGCATTTATGAATTCCAGCACAAGGGCCCAGTCGGAAACATTCTATCTTGCATGACTACTGTGCTGGGAAGAAATAATTAACAAAGACTAAAATTTCAGCTGTGATGATCTAAATATTAAAAACCAACTAGAAAAACAGTTACAAGAAAGAGTTGATACAACTACCCATTAAGCTATTACAATGCATTACTGTAGTGTAAAACACATTAATTTGTTCCCCTGAAACACAGAATATGGTTTTAAAAGATACAGAAAGATATATTCCAGCATTATTTGTCCTGATAATAGCTGACTCCAAAATTATCACTGAAAATGCGTAGAAAACTAATGAAATAATATCGATATTGCATTAATTTAAAATCAAAATCATTCAAGACAGGTGCAAAGTTTTTGAGAAATCTTTCCTAGCACGATTCATTTACATATATTTAAGACAGAAGGCTGCGTTTCTCACATTAGCATACTACACAAAAGCATTCTCTGAAAAAAAAAACATGTATTGTTGCAAGGAAGACTTACATCAGCAGGGTATGAGGAAAGATGAAATTTGGAAAAAAAAAGTGAGCATCTTCAAATGATGCATCAATTAAAAATAAACTATTACTTAATGGTGAGCTATCTCATAAAAACTGTCTTCATGCTTTTGTTTCCAGTGCCTAGATGAATTACGGGAACATAGCAGTGTGATGACATTGCTTGTCCACGGAGTATTTTTTACATTCTTTCCAGGAAAAACTGTGTGTTTGCATTGGAAAACGTACTGGAGTTATAAACCTTGAATCCTGAACAGAGCAGAACCAAACAACTTTTTGGACAAGTGTTAAGATTCCAGAACACATGTGGTATCCTTTACACTACACCAAGCTATCCAAACCCCATCCTTGTCCTCTCATACCAGAATAGCTATACAATACATGAGGCTTTCATTCACTTGATCAGCATTCAATCATTAAGACCACCTACATAGAAACTAACAGCATTTTTGTAATATAGAAGGAAATTATGTTTTATATACCAGCTGTTCTTATCAGGTATCAGGATACAATCCACATTGCTTTCCAGCCACCCATGTTATTACATTTAATCTTTGTACATAATATTTGTTACACCAAAGATGATACTGAAAATCTACACTTAAATCAGTATGACGTAAATTAAATACATCATTCATCTCTGCTACAGACCTCAAAATGACATATCCCAACACTTATACTGCATAGCACTCATCATTCAAAATACTGCATCCTAGACTCTGGTACTGAGGACTCCTGATTTTGTCTGTTATTCCATCTGAAACAAGATTGCTATTTTCAATACAAAATAATAACTTCTTTCTTCCACATGGGATTAGTTTCAAAATACCACGAGCTGATCTTTCCAGTTGGTCCCATCTTGTTTGCAAACAGTTGGACATTTTGATTTTGGATACTGAATTACAAGATTTACCGACTTCATATGCTGCTTGTCTGCTTGGAAACACTTGCAGCCAACTCATTACTTGTATGCATAGGGAAAAGTAAGGGTTTATTCCATGCTGAAAAGAGAAGAAAGGAAACAGCGTTTTGGCTGTGGAGCCTTCTTCGGGTGTCCATAATGGAGCGCCAGAAGAAGGCTCCACAGCCGAAACGCCTTCGGAATAAACCTTCACTTGTTCCTTTGCAGCCTACGCATGGTGACACAGCTACCTACTTGAACTACAGACCTTGTATGCATAAACTCGTGTATGCGTGTGTTTTGTATCCCAACATTTTTAAAACCTTTTAGCTCGTTGGCTGAACCTTCTGAGCAGCATATTCAGGTTGGCGCTATACGCATGAGCTTACTTACCCTGGCTGGCCAGTGGGGATAGCCTTTCATCTTGGCGAAAATCAGGTCCCCTGGTTTGAAATCTCGAGTCATCTTTGCTGGCTTCTCGGCGTCACTTCTAATTTAAAAAAAAAAAACCTTCCGTTGGAAGCAGGCATGTTTTAACCATAAAGTTTAGTGCGCTGTGGTGACATTTCTTCCTAAACAACAAAAGATGTTTTTTTGAGAAAACCCTGTGTACAACATTATTTTTCGGTTTATACAAAAGCTACGCATCAACTACGATCTTGCATTCTGCAACGTAAAAACAGCAACATTTAATCCCGGACGCCACACAATCTGTACAGTACTTTATAAAACCCTTAACAAGAACATGTCGAGAGATGTTGTTGTTGCAACACTTATTTTTAAGGGTAAATATCGAAAACCCTAAGAAAAGACAGGTGATATACGGTCATATTTAGAGTCCCTCAATACTTACAAACACGTTTCATCGACAGCTTTCGGTTAGACCAACAAGACCCACAAAAAGAGAAAAAAGGACAACCTGAAACGTGGTTGCAGCGAGCTAAGCGCCCCGCTTACCTGAGATCACTCTGCATTTCCTACTCGCCCTGCTTAGTTTCGATCTTGTCGCGAATTACATGCATGTCAAGAAACACAGTGATCGTCACACTTGTCGAAGTAAACTCGGCAGAGATGCTCCGACACGTGAGGCAGTGTGTAAGGGAAAGCACTGCTTAAGCTCCAACAACCCCTCCCCCATTGCCTCCATGCAAACACACGCATGTGCGTGCAGGAATAAACAAGCTTTCCCCTTCAGTATGCTGATCTGCCTTTCCACTAAAAATGCAAACTATCGACAAAAACGTATTGCAGCTGTTTCGCAGAATATGGGTAACATGGCGAAAAGCATTTGCTTCTTAACAACTACCAATTTTAAAATACGTAGTCAAGCCGTTTCCCGGTGATAACCAAACCCTCCTGCAGAAATGCTTTCTGAATGGGGCTTCGACCGGTAACTTGCCTAAAAAACAATCAAGCGTATTTTCCCCAACACGAGCAATCTTTAGCTGCAAACACGTGATCTAATCTCGGTTAGTGATTTCAACAGAATTTAAATATCGCAATGAAGGGAAGAAGAGAGAGCCTCGACCTTACCTACAACAGACCACAGAAATCGTGCAGCAGCAGCACTGCCTGCGAACTCGGCTCCGCACTCCCGCGCTGCTATGCAAAGGACCATACCACTCCAACTCAACTTCGGGGTTAAAAATCAATTTTCCTTACACTTCTCAATAGCTGCGGCCGCAAATCTTACATCATTTTGAGATTTCGACTTTTTAAACACGTTTGTATATATTAACGACTCAAAAAGAACAGAAATCGGGTAAGTAATGTTTGGATTTAAAAAAATGCTACACCCCCCCATTATAAAAGTGACCCCGAGGTTAGGACAAATGCGCAGTGACGAGTTTAAATGGTTGCTCATGTCTGTGGGGGCAGTGTGAAATTGGGAAACACATGTAAAATGTGGTTGAAATAGCAAGTGTTTTAGGAGCAACTGATGCACGTAAATTTTGAACTTAAATTTCATCATTGCAATCAGTTTTATTTTTTAAAGCCTTGAACCAGGAAATAATCTCATGTTAAGAGTGAAGCAAGCAACACAGGAAAAGGGTTCAGGTGGTTGGTGGTTTCCTTTTGTGCATACAATACAGACCTGCAATAATTCTTCGGTTGTAACAAAAAAAAAAACGGTTGTAATGCAGTCACTAGTAAGCTGCAAAATGTTTCCTTTTTCCTGCTGTTTATGAGATTATTAAACACTGCTTACTTTATTTCTGGATATATGTTTGAGAAGTTAATTAGCAATAAGTCACTTATTAACATTCATCAAATTTATTCAAATTAAAATTTTCACAGCACACTTTTTAAAACGTCACACCTCCCCCTGTGTTGCAATGATAAGCTAGATTTTTTAGGATGCAGTGTTTCTCTTTTATTTTTGGTTAATGAGATGTGGTATTATCTTTTTTAAAATGGTATCAAATGTAGTGATAGCACAGTAGTACCGTGGTTAGCATTGCTGCCTCACAGCACTAGGCCCTTGGGTTTAGTTCAGGACCTGGGGTGCTGTCTGTGTGGAGTTTGTATGTTCCACCCCGTGCACGTGGGTTTCTCCCACAGTCCAAAGACATTTTGGTTTGTTATTTGGCCACCAAATAAGTCAACTTTGCTTGGTATTATACTTACAAACACTCCTGTCAAGTACCATTAGACTGCATATTGAAAAGCTTTTGGAAGTCATAATGGTTTTCACCAGTTTTTTTTATATCAACCCAGCATTTCAATTTAGATTCTCTCCACGACCTACTTATTCAATCTCTCTTTTAAAACAACTGAAATCCCAGTGGCAGACTAGAAGTCTGCTCTTGTTCTTCCTCTTTGCAAAAGGAGTAAGTCAGACTGTAACTGCTTTAGACTTTTATCCATTTAAGCACCTTTCTTTCAAAAATCATTAAATAATAATAATAATAATAATAATAATGAGTTAAGCTATTTTTTAGACAGCTATTGTATCTGCTATCAACGAGGCTATCTAATGTGATCTTATATAGTTTTTTTATTGAGTGCACAGATGTGTTTGTGACACCAAGTTTTCACTTGCTCTTGACTAAATTAATTGATTCAGCTATGTTTAGAGAGTCATCTAAGTTTTTCACACTGTAGATCACTAGAAACGTTGTGTAGTTCAGGTCTTGATATGAGCTCTCACAGTTTCAGGATTATGTAAAAACTGTATTTAGTATTTAAAGACTTCACAGCTTGTTCAAGTAACTAATAAGTTCCAGAAAGCTCTATTCTGGGCTCTGCTTTGTTCTTCATCTATATTTTCAAAAATTCTCAAGCAATAGAAAACTTTTTTTGTGACCAAATAGGTTACTTTCATATCCACCTCTGACAACAATGTCTTATATTTAAGTGGACTCACTTTATCATCATCAATGACTAATATGCAGCTTTGTCTTAATTCAGCAGACATTTTGGGAACTTCTGCTATATTTTAATAAAATAAAACATATTAAAAAAAAGATAATGCTACTTTGGAACTAGTCCAGAGACAAGTGACCTAATACATTCCCAGGCTAAAAGGAGTGTTCTGCTCTGACAGGCTAAAAGAATTTCTGAATTTTCAGAACCCTCAAGGGAATTGACAAAGTGAAATCACTGGACCTCTTCAGAACCACAATTAAACCACAACCAAAGGACACAAAAGAAAAGAACAAGGGGTGCATTTAGAATTGATGCCAGGAGGGATTTTTTATACAAAGAGCTGTGACAGTTGAAGTTGATACCATGATTTCTTTTAAGCAGGCACTGCCTGAGTGCCTTGTGTATGATTATTTTACTACTACTGACCAAACAAGATAGATGGTCCAAATAACCTCCTCTTGTTTGTAATTGTTCTTGTTGTACTCATGTTGTTGCTAATGTGCTGCTCAGACCTTTCTGTCTTCAAAGAAGACTGTATTACAGACACTGATATCTACTTGTGATGAAAGTGCCAATAATTACAAAATGAAAATAGTTCTGAAAAAATCAAATAGGATTGATCATCTAATACAAAAGTACCTGACGTTAATGTGTGATTTATCGGCTAGCACAGTTGTGTAAAGGGGATTTTTAATGACCGTTGAGAGTCAGGATTTAACGTCTCATCCGAAAGACGCTGTATACCTAAAAACAACACGGTACGTTATGGGTGCCTGACACATCAAACGAATGACGGATTAGAAATACAATCGAGTTGAGCACATGTACGTAGGAAGTTCATTGTGAGCGCGGGGGTGAAGCGTTTTCAGCGCCAATAGCTCTTCCCAGACGGGCTATTCCAACATTTAGTCATGTCATAAGAATAGTAGAGCCTGTGGCATCATACAGAACACCAAGTTAAAAACACAATCTCCACACAACTACATTACCCCCTGTAGCTAAATTCAGTTATGTAGGTGCCATTTGAGGGTTTCAAATACTGCGTGATTTAAAAACGGTATCAAGTAAGAACTGTTGTAATCTGCAGCATAACGACTCGGCTATCAATTCTTGAGGGCTCCTGCATTACACGTGGGAGGGGCTGCTATTGTTCCCTTTAAACGCGTCATACGCGACTGAGAACCAATCAGAGGCGTGGAATCGTAGAGGAAGATGTCGTTGGATCCCCCAGGAAGCGAAACATGGCGTCAGATTTAAACTGAACCTGTCAACCAGATGTGGTTTGCTTCCAAACTGACAGTTTACACGATTTTTTTGGTAAGTCTTTGAATGAATCGAATAGCTCTGGGTAAAGAAAATCGCAGTGCCCTTGTCCGTTTCGTTTCGAGTGTTTGTGGTCCAGGCAAAAAGCAGTTTGGCGTCTGTTGTCTTTTTCTGTTTTGTAGCTAAGCACAGTAATAAAAATATGTATCGGTCTTACTCTGTGAGGGGGGAAAAAACAGTGACTGTAAACGAACAAACTTGAATTAAATCAACAGAGGTATAAATAGAAACACTTTCAGTGTCTTGAAGTTGTTTTAGTCCATTTTCTCTCCCAAATACTTCATGAATGACGAGTAGAAAGTGGTTTGTGGTCGTAGATGTGCAATTTGAGCTGTTCTCGCTTTGATTAACTGGGTGAGTGGACTTTCCCAGAGCTGTTTTTATGTTGGCTTTGATTGTCGTTGTTACTATGCAGGTTAGCATCAACGGATTTCTTTTGAAACACAGTGTACAATTCGGAATAATGCAAGGGTATGAAAAAAAACTTAAAAAGTGCAGACATCTTTATTATTTACCTGTGGTAGACGAATTTTACAACACATTTTATGAACTTGCGTGAAACTGGATCAGTTTATTTTTCGGACATATGGCAACCACAGATGCTAAAAATAATTACTACATTTTTACATTATGCTGTATGTAGCCTGCCTAACCGAGATAGCTTTTTATTGTTTTATTATAATAGGCCCAACGAGAAGCCAACGTTAGTGAAAAACTAATTGAAATGAACTAATGAAAAACTAATTCATATAATCTATGCCGACTAGCTTTGTAGGTCTGGTATAGTTTTATTGATTTGGTTTCTCTTTTTTTTTTAGGCCAACGGTGAAATTGTGCAAAGAAGGCCTATTCTAAATGAACCCCTAACGTTATGACCATTCATTTAAATTCTAATTTTATAATCCCCAAATTTCAATTTAGGATTATATGCATAAAGGCTTTTCAAGTGTAGTGAAAGCCTGTGTAACCAATACAAATTTCAAGGGATGAGGAAAAGTTCTACATTAACAATTTGCTTTAGGTCAGAGATTTTAAACTCTGTTTCTGGAAGGCCAAGTTTCTTCGTTTTTTTTGTTTACCCTGAACTTAATTATATAGTAAATTAATTACTTAAATGCAGTACTGATTAACAGGCACTAAATGTTTTTTGTAAGTAGCTCAATTTTATTTTTCATTATTTTTTTCCGAAAATAATTTTATATTAATTGTTTAAACTACTACTTGGGTGTAACAAAAACCATATGTCGCAAGAATTGGCTCACCAAGAATTTATGTGAGACCCCCGATTTAAAAATGTTACTCTGGCTCCAATTTCTCACATACTAAAAATGTTTGCAGTACTTGCTTATTTGTCATAAAATAGCGATTTAGCATACCTTTGTCAAAAGCTGAGAGGAAAGTATGCAAGAACTTTAACTTAACCAAAAGTTCATAGTTTTGCATATTACCAAGACAACACTAAATTCACATATTTGCACTGTGATTTTATCAACTTCAAGATTATTTGTCGTCCCTTTCATGCTTCCATTTTCAGTCTGATGTCCCTCAGGTTTCTTTAAAACCCCTTTATCTCTTCTTGTCTTGCAATTTTTGATGTGTATTGATGGAATACTCTGAAAATCCTTTTTTTTTTTCATGGTCTTAACCTTTTGCCTCTATGTTTTCTATATCAGAATAAGCACAAAACAAAGCTGAAGACATTTCTAAAACACATACCACGATATTTCCTATTTACCAGAATGGTATCGATTGTAAGACAAATCTGAAAATGCAAGGCATGGCATTATCTTGAAGTGTTGAGATTTCCATAGCTGTGTCTTTCTTCACCGTTTTCAGAAAGTCTGTCCAGAGAAGCTGTGGCCATGGCAGCTCAGCCTTCCACAGCCTTGTTAAGGTCTCAAGACCTTGAGCAGGTCTCGCTGAAGTATAAAGAGGCAGCACAGTCAAAACAAGGCATGAAGACACATCACAATAAAAGATCCTCGCACTCTTCCAAGAGCTCTGCTGATGAGATCGCAAGGTATTTTGCTGCTTAAAGTTTTTTTCTTCAAACTTTGATGCTCAAAATATTGTCCCGATTAAGTCATAACTATCTTAAGTCGCACCTATACTGACTGAAATCTAAATTCAGTTGCAATTCAGGTAGTAATGGTAATGGGAGGGATTGCTCATTGAATTTGAACAGGGAATCTAATGACCGTGGTAGAGCAAGTTTGAAATGTCATTTGCCATAAATAAATGAAGGGTGACATAATTTATATTTGCAAACAGGAATTATAGTGAGATGAGAGAGATTTTTGTTAAAGGCGAAATGTGTTGCAAAAGAAGATGAACAAACTATGCCAAGCTGTAGTTCAGGATGTGTAATGTCACTGTAGGGTAATCACATGTTCCAAAACATTGCCATAATATGACACTGGCAATCACAAACATCAGCCCTTTAAATGTAGCTTCCTGATCCACAAATGATGACTTCCTCTAGTAAAGGCGGGGGGTACTTGAATTGATGCGTTCTAATGTGTCGCACCCCTTGCAACATCTGTGAATATGCATCTGTGTAGATTTAATGTATAAACATTATTTTTGGGTTGCCAGGCCTTGATCGTTGAATATTATGTAGTTACTTTTAACATGGAGGTAGGTATATATAATATGTCTGGCAATGAGTCAGAGATATGAACAAAAAATGGTAGTAAATTATTTAGCCTACCTAATGATTTGTAGTGTGTGATTGTTTTGGGGAATTCAGAAATGCACTAAAATGTGATCTCATTACATGTTAGCAAACATTATTAATAACAATTTGTCTTTTTGATTTTGGTGTTTTTATTTTAGCGAAATAACACACATCTATTCAGTGGTTAGTTTAGTGCTGATTTAGCTCCACAACTTGCAAATGGGCAGTTTAGTTATATGTATAATTATTTATATTTCGGCCATGGAGCCTTCTTCAGGTGTGAGAAAGACAGGGCAGTCTGCCCTCTCTTTCTCACACCTGAAGAAGGCTCCATGGCCGAAACATTGTGTTTTCTTTCTTCTCTTTTCAGCATGGAATAAACCTATTATTTGTTCCTTTGTGGCCTATGCATGCTGATGCAGCTACCCACCTGATCTAATTATAAATATGAGGACTGAGAAATTTTAAACTGTTAAATTAAAAACAAAGCCACGTGCTGATTAAAACATTTGATTGTTGGAATATTTAACCACCTGTATTGGTCGGGACCCCCTGATCAGAGCTGGTATATAGGGTTATCTTCCCTGGTGTGTTGATTTGTTTTTAGAGTATCTCAACCTGGTGACATCATTTATTTTTGACTTCTCCACCTGAACCTCTGTGGATCAGCATGATGGCTCACTATACTGTTTAAGATCAGCTTTAGAGATTTCTGACAGATACTTTTATTTTTGTTGTTACATCAAATATTGTATTCCCAATATTAAAAATGCTAATATTAAGTTGAGTTTGTATATTTCTTTTCAGCCCAGTGATTTGAAAAAGGGGAGAAATGGGAGAAAGTGCAACTACATTTTTCTGATGTTTCTGACACTCCAACAATAATTCTGTAATGCACAATGCATCTAAATGAGTTCTCGGTACCACTTATTATTTATTCATTTACTTATTTATGACAAAGATTTTAATTCCTGAAACACCATGATGAGGTTGCTTTTGGCCTTTGTTGTTCTCAATTTCCCAGCACAAACTGTTTCTGTTCAAGTGTTAACGTGTTACATGGATGATCAAATGAGTGTGGTGTGTCAGAATGGTTTTTATTTACAATAGAGAAGGTCGCATTTTTGTTTTGGCATTATGTAAGTGTTTTGGGGCAAATGGTCATCATACAATGATATTATATACTGTATTCCGAACTACAATTTGGCATAGCTTAACTTGTTTTGCGCCAAATTGAACATTTAGGTTTCTTAACAATTTGAGATAGTGTCTAATAATGTTATTTAAATTTTGACTACAGTGCTGAAGTGGAACGTGTTCTGGGAGAGATTTGTTTATAATGGATTGATTGTGGAAGAGTCACGTAATTTTAATTTGCCTTTTTACAGACTGAAAGAAACAATTGCTCAGCTTCAAAGTGAACGTCAAACCTTGCAAAACACAAAAGAAGGCGGTTTTGATTCTATATCTGATCTGAGATGGAGACTCAACAAATCGGAAAAGGAAAAGCTAGAGCTGGTGACAAAATACAATGAGGAGGTAATTAATCACAGTATTGTTTTCTTGTCTCTCACTTCACAATTGCTAATTGAATGTATTTTATAGGTCTGTATGCCTATTCAGATGCTTAAAGGGTTGCATAGAATATTATGGTGTTAATTACCACATCCAAATGCTTTGCATTTTGTCATAATTTCTAATATCTCAAAAAGAAATGAGAATTAAAATTTAACAATATGGAAATTGGTTTGGCTATAACATTTCAGCTCCACATGTTTTGAAAGCTGACACGAGTAACGTCAAGTGATTTTAATTGTCTGTCATTGTCTTATGTTGGGAGTGTGCTGTACAACAAATTTTCCCAGATGGGATATTAAAGCTTGAATTGAATTTCTGTATGCCTTGATCTCCAGTATTTTTGTTACCTTATTTTGCATAAAGTGAATGCTGGGTGTTGAGTGCAGTAGCAGGTGTACTCAATCATAAAATCTTACCACTCTGCACATAAGATTTTAGAAAAAAGCATATGGATATAAGATGTCGGTTAAGTGTTCCGGCTTAAATCTTATTGTTCAGATTATGAATGTAATACATACATCACCATATTAGTGCCTGAGCTGGAGTAGTTTATGAAGTGGTCTAACCTGTTTAAAGTCAGGCCTTGTGAAAATCAAGAAAGTAAAACAACCGAAGGAATCATTATGCCCCAAACATAATCCTTCAATGATGGGCAACAATCTGGTAGACAATGAGTGTTGACATCTTACCAAGATTGCCTATAGAACATCACAATAATGTACAATGTACTTGTGCTTGGATGGCTGTGTAATAAAGGCTTTTTGGCAAAGTTGATTGTATTTCTATGTGCTGAGTTGTTTTAGTCATGTATATACATGGGAATACTGATCTTAAATTATTTTTCACGTTGCCCTCACGCAGCAGGAATTTTAAGGTCTGCTGCGTTTGGGTTTTTCTTTGGAAGACCCTGCTGTTTGTCATATCTCTGCACGACTATTCTTCTTAAGGTGGCCAGATATGAGGGCCAGGTGGCCAAGCTCCGAGCTGTGCTGGAGAGGGGAGAGGCCCAGCGCCAGAACCTGGAGTATGAGATTGCCCTGGCAAGGAAAGATGCTGGTATGGAGAAATCCAGCGCTGAGGAAACAGTGGCAAACATCCACAGAAAAAATGAACAGTTGAAAGGTTAGCGGTCATTAGTTCTGTTGGATAAAAATATTAGACCTATATTTTTAATCATTTTCTCCGTTTGAAAAACGTCTTGTGTAAATGAAGTTGAACGTCATTTTTGAGCATTTTATAAAGATGAAAATTCTTAGTATGAGGTATGCAGGGGTGGTTACTTGAAGTTAGAGCTCCAGCTATTTATTGAGTCACAGTGGGTGTTAATAATGTAACTGATTAGTGGTGTTGGGTATTTCTGCGCATTATTTGGTTTAATTAGGCTTTGTCTTATACGTAAAGATTGAGTGTAGTACTTGTTAGGGTTGCTGTTGCTGTTTTATGTTATAAAGCCTGTTAGATTGAATTCTTCAGCCGTCGGTAAATTTCTGTACACGCAGGCTCTTTTGCAAGTTTTGAATGCAGTAATGAAGAGGTTGAGGATAGGGTCTGTAAAGATGCCTTTTATGATAAAATAAAAGTAATTAAATTGAAACATACATTTACAGTAAATTCTTCACTTGGAATCAATCACATTTATTTCTTTTTAGACAAAGCAGTAGTTTATAAACATTTAGGCCTCTGGTTGAATTGATCTTTAACTTTCTAAAAACTCATGTCCTTCTTTCCTCCCCAGTTCTGCCTTAATTTATTAAATTTCTCTATGATCTTAAAATTGAAGATTTCAAATTGAATGTCCAAGAGCAGCTATTGATTTTGGATGCCAGTAGTTTGTATTGTGGCCTCTGCTAAACAATTGCAACAATCTGCAGTGAAAGATTATAGGTGGATGATTTATATTTCTATATTTTTTTATTATAATTTTATAAATATTGTTTTTTATAATTTATATTTCAGTCATAGGATTCTTTTCTACAAGATGCATGCACCTGTCAACTGTTCTTGTATTTGCTCTTGAATCTGGATTTTGGTCTAGGTGAACAAAGGGAACAAAAAAAAGTTAGTCGTATCGGAGAGAGTTTGGAACAGGATTATCGAGCTGGAGGGCTTTGATAAAATCTGCCAGAGGGATGTGAAAATGGTGATTCAGTGAGATAGTTGAAAAATGCAGTCACTATGTAATTTCCACATACAGCAACTTTCTGTTTACTCCCTTAAATCTTTTTAGATTGTTAAACCAAAATGATTTCAAATTCTGTTGGAAATAAATTGCTCCAAACAGAGAAACAAGCTGTGAAAGCGTTGTACTTGAGCAAGCACAGGCCTCCATGCTCACATGCTACTGTACATGGTTCTTGTCAAAGATATAAAAACACATAATAGCGCGATGTTTTGCTGCAGCATTACAAAACTGTCAACATTAACAACAAGCAATTACAGGTGAACATCCTTCTCATGATCATTCACTAAAGAATGTTTGTCTTGTAGAAAGAGAACTTGTTAGCAAAGTAGAGCAAAAAGTCTGCGTTTGTAGCATCCACCTTTTCTTGAATTTCCTTCTGCACTTGATTTTGCTCTGTACTGTCTTGTAAAATGACAGTGCTTTCTAATTCAATTTTTTGTGTTTTATTTCTTGTCATGGTTCTTGTCGTGCAGTTATTTTGATATTGTGCTCCAAATAAACCAAAAGTAAAGTACCCTACCTTTAATCCATTTACATTTATAATATATAATGTATACATGTACAGTATAAATACATATATAACACATTTCAGTGGAACTCCGGAGATTGAGCCTTGCTTTATGGACCTGGGGGCTACAGTATCTGCATGGAGTTTTCATGCTCTTCCTGTGTCTGTAATTTTCTCCCAGGTGTTTGGTTTCCTTAAAGGATCCAAAGATATACTGAACCATTTCAATTTGTGATATCAGACTAAACTGATATCTTTTAATATGCTGAATGCTCAAAATAGAAATGGCTGAGGAGGACTTCTAGGTTAAAACAGCAGATTTGACTAACTAATCAATAATTGTATTTTCTTTTTCTTACTAGTACTAGTTTGTTGCTTTACATTGAAAATGTATTCTTAGGTCAAGGATATCTACCCCTAAGCATTTTTTGGACTTTTTTCTGTTTCTGTTTTTCTCAGTGGAAAATGCTGAACTGCAGCAGCGGGTATTAGATCTGGAGAAGGCCCTGCACATCACCCAGCAGGCCAGAGAGGAGGACCAGGGTGCCTTTCACTGTGAACTAGAGGAGAGAGACCGCCTTCTACAGAGTGCCAATATAGAGACGGAGTTGCTCACTGCTGAAAAAAAACGACTTGAGGATCTTCTCCAGGTACCTTGCAGCAGCTTGTCTTCCTCCACGTCCTGTTTTGTACCTTGCAGCAACAAAGTCACTTTATTAAGGTTTTAAACTCAAAGAGCCTGTATGAATTGAGCCTGCAGAATAAATAAAACATGGTTTGTTAATTATGTTTCTTCCAGAAATGAGTGATTTCAGTTGCCAAAACATTATGAAACTTATTAGTGTAGGTACTGTAGAAAAAATAAACACCCAGAGGAAAGATTTTCAATTAGATAATCATATTGTGCTTGAGTGATCAAATCTGTATTATTACATTTGTTTAAACTAAGCAAGTTAAGGTTGCTTTTGCCGATAAGCACGATTAGCAATGTCCTGTAAATATTGTTTTTGTAGCAAGTCATTTTCATTTGTAATATAAAGTGCTACAACTGGATAATTGCTGGAGATGTCAGAGAAAACTAACTTACACTGCAATACACACTACCCTGTCTGTGATTTAATAATTGGCTATTGATTTTAAGTAATGATTCATAAAAAGAAAGAGGATGAAGATCCGCAAGATGACAATAGTAGAGAGAGGGCAACAGTGGAAGTGGACATGTGCCAGCACATCCAGCTTTAATTTGATGTACATCTCAAGGATAGAGAAGATGTGGAAGCTCAGGCATCTTTTGACATGAGGGAAGTGCCATTGTGGGAGACAGAGAGGACTAGATGTTATGCAGCACAGTTTTTTATTATAGTGCTTAAGGCTCTCTGTTTTATTGTATTTTTTCTTCAAGTTTTTAAAATACCATGTTATTGCTTGCCCTTTGTGTGTATTTTATCACCATCCCCCCTAAAAGTATTATATAATTAATCATTTCCATAATTCATCATTAGTTCCCAAAGCCCATCATATACTTGATGTGGAAAGAACTGTAGGTGACGCTATGGAGCAGGGGTGGTAAAAAACCTCTGTATGTAATGCAGGATGAGTCCTACATTCTGGATATATGAGGTTGTGCCGCTTTCTGTCCGTGGCCATCTTTCTAGTGGTATCAGTATGGTTGGTAGTATGGTCAGCGTCTGCTTGCAGAACAGCAAATTCAAATCTTGAATACAGTCTCACAAGTCTAGTCTGTACTTTACAACTGGAAAACTAATTAGAGATTAAAACGTTTTATTTGTTAAAGAGTTGAAAGGGTTTAAAGGGAAATGTTTGTTTTGTTGACACTGTGGTCTGCTTAGTACAGTTAACCACCAAGATGCATAGGTAAAGAAACCCCAGAGATACTGTCCATACCCTTGTAGGTATGTAGAATGATCTAAGATACTGTATGTAAAATGCAAATCTTCCAGATCTTTGTAAAGTCTCAATATTGTCTGCTCTTTTTACTGTACTGGTATTTATCTAAAGGAGGGTGGGTTATTGAGTTTGAGAAACACTTCTGGTGTTTCATTTTCTTTGGATGAGACGTAAAACCAAGGTCCTTACTCTCTGTGGTCATTAAAAAAATCCCAGGGTGTTTCTTGAAAAGAGTAGGGGTGTAACCCTGGCGGCCTGGCCAAATTTCCCATTAGCTCTTACCAGTCATGGCCTCCTAATAATCCCCATCTATGAGTTGGCTTCATTACTCTGCTCTCCTCCCCTCTGATGGGTGATGTGTGGTGAGAGTTCTGGCGCGCTATGGCTGCCGTCGCATCATCCAGGTGGATGCTGCACATTGGTGCTCTTTGAGTGTAGTGTCCAGAAAAGCGCTATATAAGTGCAAGCAATTATTATTATTATTATTATTATTATTATTACTACTACTACTACTACTACTACTACTGAGTCTATGGCATGTTAGAGTTGTAATGGCACAGTGCGCATTCTGATCAGAGTTCAGTGGAAATATAGTGGTATTTTTATATATATATCCCTTTTTTGTGTAAATTCAACCTGTCAATGCCCTCACTAATTCCACCATGTACCTGTGAGCCCTTGAATATTTCTGCTCAGAATAAATTGACATCGGATGTCTAGAACAGTGCTATTAATGTCACAATACATTTTTTATGTGTGCATTTTAAAAATGAGTTATTTCAAATAGTAATCTCAGAGTTATTTCATTAAGTGTTGTAAGTCTCAAATGCAAACATTCAAAAAACTGTCTGGGAATGTTTAGTTTTTTATCACAAGCCTGACCTCTACTGGACTTTGGTTGAAATACAGTGTTGCCTTTTTAGTCTTTATTGATCTCAATAAAATGAGAACATAGGTAGCATTTTAGTTATTAGGTACTGCTGATTTCTAATGAAGAATTTGAGTCATAATTTTTTTAAAAATAATTAAAGAAACAATTTATATAATTTTACTTAATATAATTTATATTATTTTAGTTGCTTTGCTACAGAATTATCAAGCAAAATATATTTTGGTCACTGAACAAAATAAACTATTTTTTTTAAACTACTTTTTTTATTTAATAATAGATGGATTCTTAACTGAATCAATATGACAGTTGTACTGAAGGTCCACTTACACTTTTTCCACAGGAGCAAGATGACACCTTGCGTGAGCTGCATAAAAGGCTGAGCCAGCTGCAGAGGGAGCATGAGAAAAATGCAGAGACTCTGAGGAGACAAGGAAGTGATCTGGAGTACAGTGCAGAGAGAGAGGAAAGACTCAAGAAAGAGCTAGAGGTAAGATGTCACTCAAGTCTGAAAAATAATACTAAGAAGAGTAATAGTGCTTCATCTATCACTGATGTGCTGCCCCGATACAGAGCAAATCAAGTAGAGATTGTGACAAATTGCTTCACTAATTGGAACCTTAAATATGCCAAATTGTTCAATCCTAGACTAGAGTGTATGGTTATACCTACAGGTTTATGAAGTGCCATGTGATCTTTAATGACCAAGTATTCAGGATCCCGATTTAAGGTTTAATCCGTAAAACGGTGCCTCATACACTCTGTTTTCTTAGTCAACAAAATGGGGCTGTTGGTTTGGACATTCTAGCCCAGTTGGAAGGGTGCCACATATGGGGCCACCAGAGACAGCCTGGTTCTCTTCTGGGCTCCCATCCCCGGAGTCACTGAGCTCAGCCTCGCAAGTTTTTTAGATCTGACACGATCAGATTATAAAGTGATGATGCTGCTGTCATGAAAAGAGGAGACTCGGTTACAACCGTTTCGTGAAAAATAAATATCTTTGTCGTGCTGTTGTTCAGCATCAACAGTTCACGGAGCTGCATGAAAGGTAAAAAACGCTGTATATCACAGCTCTAGCACTGACATTCACATTACATTATCGTTTTTATTGCATCACTTTCAATAACTGCTAATCCAATTGAGGGCCATGGTGTTCTAGCCTATCCCTGAAAGAATTGTGCACAAGGCAGGATACACCTTGAAAAGCATGCCAGTCCTTTGAAGGGTACACAAAAACACAAATTTGCCAACACATGCATCAGGGCCAATTTTCCCGGAATCCAATTAACAAATCAGCTTGTCTTTAGGCTGTGGGAGGAAACTGGAACTCCTGGAGGTAACCCAAGCAGACATTTACATGATAAGCAAATGAAACGCACATCCAGATCAAAGCAATAGGGCTGAGAGTAAGCCCAACAATACTAACAATGATGTCATTGTGCCACCCCCATGACATTCACAAATGTATGAAATTTAAAAAAATGCTGACAATAACATCTTTTTATGCTATTGAACTTATTCATCCTGCCAAAAGGTAGCTAAGGTTTTTTATTGGTGTATTTAGGATGGTACCTATTTTTGATAGTTTATTGAAATATATTTATATTTAATATATTAATAATGAGCACTGGAAATGGAGGGCAATAGTATTTGTCTGGGAGTGTTCCATTTGACTAATAAATCCTTCATTCTAATTTCATTCGCTGTGTTAATTGTGGGATCCACCCCCACTGTTATTTTCTATAAAATTACACATTGATACGTGTAAAGGTTTCCTCCTTTTGTATATATACTTGAGTATGTTTGCCTTTTCTATTTTTGCAGTAGTTATGGCAGCAAACTTTGCATTATTTATCTAGCAAACGTTACACGTTGGAAAAATGAAATTAGTGACTAAAGATAAATTGTGGTACCCTCTAGTGGTTGCTTGCTAAATTGCCAGTTTGCCAAAAAGGATTGAAGAACTGAATTTTGGATTACATGTGTATATATATTAATGCTCAGTTAAGTTATTTTCGTTATCTACAGTATATACTATTTTGGCATCCTTTTCTGTAAAACAGGTCTTACCTGAAGTGGAAAAAAATCTAATGTAGAATTACTTTTAAGTTGTGATTATGTTTTGATAAAGTTTAACGCTAGATATAAACACAAGAAAATATTAATGTAATCTTTTTTAAACTATATTAAATAACATTGTAAGGGATTTCTTGGGTGAACTCAAACGATGTCAGTCATGTGTTAAAAAAAAGCCTTCTATAACTTGGCCCTTACTACAATTTCTATAATATCTTATGGTTGAGGAAACATTTGTACAACTTAAAATTACATTTTTATGATAAAGTAAAGTAACTTAAAGATCCTTTGATGGTATCATTGATTAGAGATTTTTTTTTATGCATTTAATAATATCAACGATAGCTTTTCCTTACACTTACATAGTACTTTTCAGGACATTCCACTCAAAGACCTTTACAGGCAATGGGGACTCCACTACACCACCACTAATGTGCAGCATCCACCTGGATGTTGCAACAGCAGCCAAGGTGTGCCAGTATGCTCACAACGGATCAACTGTCAGTGGGGAGGAGAACAGAGTGATGAAGCCAATTCATAGATGGGGATTATTAGGAGGTCATGACTGGTAAAGGCCAGGGGAATATTTGGCCAGGACACCAGGGTATCACCTCTACTCTTTTTGAGAAACACCCTGGTATTTTAAATGACAATGGAGAATCAGGACCTTGGTTCTATGTGACACTACCCCCTTTTATAGAGTGTAGTGTCCCCATCAATATATTGGGGCATAAGGACCCACAGAGACTCTTTCAGTAGCAACCTACTGTAGTAACCTTAGCTTTCCCAGGAGGTCTCCCATCCAGGTACTGGTCAGGCTCACACATGCTTAGTTTCAGTGGTTTGCCAGTTGTGCTTAGTAGTATGATAAAGCTGTTGGCTGATCACCTTTTTGTTGTACATTTTTGTAAAAACACTGAAGATTTGAAGTCATTTCCTGTTAAAATTATGGAATAAAAGTATAATTTAGCTATAGAACCTCTGAGATACCAGTCCAGTATCTACCTTTTTCATTTAGCTGTGCATAGCTATAAATGTCTACAGTGCAATTTAATAATGTCGTCTGTATTATAACCCTGAGTTCTTCAATGAGAACGTCAACTGAAAATGGCTTTTCCGCAATTCTTCGTTGTCGGAGGAATACTTTAACCTGTACATTTGTAACTTCCTGTCTGGGGATTCCAGGCAGCTCAGCAGAAAGTGAAGAGCCTGGAGGAAAATGTGGAGTCGGAAAGAGCAGCCCACTTGGAGTCCAAATTCAACTCGGAAATCATACAGGTAGAAATACTGTCATGAAGTACACGAAGTGACTTTTTATGTTTCTTAATCTTTCTTTCAGATGTGGTGTAAGGTTTTTTTTTATCCCCTCTTGTCAAATCATCTCCCTTTTGCTCCGACCAAGTGGTTGGTTTGTTTCATCTCCTCCAGGAAGGGATCTAGTCTGACAAACTGGATAGAATTCTGGACATAGGTAGATTTCCCATAATACTGTAACAAATGAGCTCATACATTTTTAACACGCATATAGAAGGCCTCAGTTAGTGGTCCTGGATGAAAATTGCTTCTGACCTTCTATGTTACGGATGTGCTCAGGGATATACCCGGTACATGTGAAGCAGCGACAAAATAGGGAGAGGAAGCTGCTGGGTTGGCCTACAAGTATATTGAAAATGAGGGGTCAAGACTCAAGATATCAAAATATTATTAAATATTTAGAGTGGTAAAACATTTTTATAACATTAGCAATGCTGGTTTAGGTCTCATTATAGTCCAACAAGTGCACTGTAAAGTGCTCAGAGCCTATAGTTTAAAATATAAAAAAGGGACAAAGTTTTGCAATTCTGCAAGAATATGGTATTATAAGAGAAAGTTAATTTATCTAATACATTTTGTTCCCTCAGATCTTGGTGTACGGTAGCTATTTGCTGTATTTAGTTGATTAAAAGCAAGTAACAAATTTAAAAGAATCAATTTAGTCATCACTGTGAGTGGTTACACATCCAGATATTTTTTTTAGATAATAAAAGGAGGAATCAATCCCTGTAACATAATTAACAAAACAGAATTCTTTATTAATATCTCAGATCTAATACTGAAGGTGGGGAAAAAAAATTAACTTCAACATCCTGCCTGGAAGATTTCTGCTAATGGCTTGGTCCTTAGAAAACAATGTCTAGATTTACATTTTGGTAGAACTGTGATAGTATAGTCCAATGTCCGATCTAATGTTTCTGTTTTTCTTCACTAGCTTACGTTTTCAATATACAGTCACTAGATTTATAAATCTAATCAAGCACTTAAAATGCAGTGTTAATGCTGTCTTCTAATACATAATTGCTATAATCTAATAATGCACGAAGCATCACACTAAGAGTTAAGTGCATTATAGCTAGATAGACATTGGATTTTACAGAATTACTCTTTAGAAATGCAGTGTATTTTTCTTTGACGGTAAAACTTCAACAACAAAAAAATTAACATGGAAGATACAAAGTGTATACCTTTTTCCAGTATTGTAATTTCACAGTACTCTATACACAGCTTTTCATGGGTTCTGTTGATTGTAATGAAGGTGACATTAGTGCCCATTTCAGAAATGCATGTTTTGGTAAATTGCAGTTAAGAATCCGGGATCTTGAAGCAGCTCTACAGGTTGAGAAGAGCAGTCAGTCGGAGGCCTTGTCCAGCCTGGAGCTAATGAAGCAACAGTTCAGAGAGGTGGAGAAGGCATATGAACGGGAGAAAGCCAAGGCCAAGGAATTGCTGGACAAACTCCTACAGTAAGAAACTTGCCTCCAGCTCCTTGTCTTTGTTTTCTATAGCATATACCGCTTCTGTTATAAATACCCTTTAGATGTTTTTATTCCTTAATATGCTTGAATTAGCTGTAGTTTTGAGTTTGCATGTGCAGTGAAAAAGTTTACAAACACAACACAAATGTTCTGTTCAGCTTATCTGGTATGCATTGCTAACAGATTACCTGTTTGAGTCTGATGTGAGAGGTTGCTATATTAAATATTGCACTGACAATGGTGTACCAGAAAAGAAAATTTGGACATTTCCCAATCAGGAACCGTGGTTCAACAACGATGTTCACATTAAAATAAAAGATGGTGCCGCTGTGTTCAAATTGGGGGACAAAGAGATTTACAGGGAATCATGGTATGCATTAGAGAAAGCCATAAAATGCGTTAAACGGAGCTACGGAGTGTGGCTTGAAACACAATGTGCTGATGCCCGGAGGCTGTGGCAGGGATTACAGTCAATCACAGGCTACAAGGGCTGCTGCCAGAAGATCAACATGAACAACACATCCCTGCCTGGTGAGCTGAACCGCTTCTATGGCTGCTTTGATGGTCTGAACACAGACACTGCTGAGAAGACCCCAAGTGTACGGGGTGAGTTTGTTCTGAAACTCTCCGAGCAGGATTTGCAGAAGACTCTGAGTAGGGTGAAAATCAGTAGGATTGCAGGGCCTGATGGGATACCACCCAGCGTCCTTAGGATATGTGCAGCCCAGCTGACCACAGTGCTTACGGACATCTTTAACTCTTCCCTGTCACAGTCCATTGTCCCCACCTGCTTCAGAAAAACCACCATTATTCCACTCCCCAAAAAGGCAGCATTAACATCTGTGGTGATGAAATGCCTGGAGAAGCTAGTGTTGTCACACATCAACTCCTCCATCACAGAGTCCCTGGACCCCTTGCAGTTCGCCTACCAGAACAACAGATCAGTGGATGATGCTGTCTAGCTCTACAAAAAGCCTCGGAACACCTGGACACTAAGGACTCATATGTGAGAATACTGTTTGTGGCCTACAGTTCAGCATTCAATTCAATCATACCCAGCCAACTGGTGACAAAGCTCAGGGGACTAGGACTGTACAACTGCAACTGGCTGCTGGACTTCTTAATCCAAAGACCACAGGTGGTGCAGATAGATAATAAAACATCAACATTGCTCTCCCTGACCACTGGCACCCCACAAGGCTTCTGTCTGTCCAAGGTTGTACTCCCTATTCACTCACGACTGCACAGCAAGACACAGCAACAACTGCATCATTAAATTTGCAGATGATACCACTATAATAGGACTGATCAGCGATGATGACGAATCCACTTACAAGCAATAAGTCGTAAAGCTTCTGAGGTGGTGTCATAGCAATAACCTGGTCTTGAACGTGAGTAAAACAAAAAAAAAATAGTGGACTTTCGGAGACAAAGGCCACACACTAACAGCCCACTCAGTATTGATGGAATGGAAGTGGAAACAGTCACCAGCTTTAGGTTTTTGTGAATTCACATTTCTAATGACCTAACCTGGACTGTGAGCACAGACATTATCTTGAAGAAGGCTCAGCAGCGACTCTATTTCCTAAGGTGCCTCAGGTGATGGGGGGTACCAGTACCTGTGTTGGTGAACGTCTACTGCTCACCAATGGCAACACCTCTTCTCTCGAGAGAAAGGCACTGCAGAGAACGGTGAATGTGGCCCAGAAGATCATTTGCTGTGGTCTCAAAGAGATCAAACAGGTCTATGAGGACCGCTGCCGTGGCAGAATTCTGTCCATCACAGAGGACAGTCGCCACCCCGGAAATGAGCTCTTCACACCACTGCCCTCAGGCAAGAGGTACAAGAGCATATGGACACTTGCCACCAGATTCTTCAATATCTTCTACCCAAAAGCAGTGCGATTGGCGAACACATTTGGCCATACCCCTTGGACCACACTTATACCATCTACCTCATTATAATTTTATTTAGTGCACATCTGCAGTCATTGTTTACATTTGATCCGTTTACTTGTACATTGTCTACTGTTTGTTTGTATATTGTCTTGATGCACTGTCTGCACTTTGTTTTACACTTTTTTTTATCAAGAGACTCTCTGTTATTAAGAATTCCATTGTACCAGTACATGTACTGGTTACATACGGCAATAAAGTTCAAGTTCAAGTTGCGATATACCCTTAAAATGTATTTGATCATGTGCCCCTTTTGTGTAATCCTTGTTACTCCAGATTATATAAAGACATACTTGTGATAACACAAGTATAATAAGAAATGAGAATTATGTGTTTTGTAATTGAATTCCAATTCTGTCTCATGGAGAAATGGAGAAAACATGTGAGGGGAATTGGTATGTTTTTGCCAGTGGTAGTTCTAGTATGTAGTATCATGTTAATTTCGGTGCACTTTCGGTGCTTAATGCGTCTGTTCAGACAACAAAACCATTGTCAGTGTAATCTCTTAATCATGTAGCACAATAATGCTTAGCTCCACACTGCAAGGGTGACTCATACCTTGGTGTTTTAAACTGGAATCAAGATCATTCATGAATATGCTGCATCTCCAAATGTGAACACATCAATCGCCATGGAATGAGTCGGGCAGACACAGTTGCTTAGTTGATATTCTTATTTTCAACAGGTTTGAGAAAGAGTACTTGTCTACAAAATCCCAGTTGAATGAAGACCTTGAGGTGAAGAAAAAAGTGATCACAGACTTGTCAGAGAAAGTCCAGCAACATGAGAAACTGTTGGCGGATTCTCAAGATGAGGTTGAGAAGGTTCGTATGTCTTCTGTCTGTTGCTTTTTCATGGAGTTGCACGTGTGGGAGTAGCACAAACGTCTTACAGCCTTTCGCTAGATTCCTCCCACCATTTTATTTAAAATATAAAGAGAAACACATCAGAGGTATCTGCAGTTGATGCTTCTTGTTATTTTATTGAATTAAGTATGTTCTCAGCAGGCCCCTCAGTGAATGCCAGAATATTGCATTGTTAGTGGAGCCAGGTGTTCATAGTCTAGTGTTTAAGGTGTTTATGAATTTGGACATACAGTACACCACATATGGTATGTCTGGCAACAATATATTTTTATTCAACTGTAAACCATGTGGTGGTCAGAATCGTGCTACCTGTTTTTTTTCTTCTAATACTTGCTCTTCTAAAACATGTCTTAATGGCAGATGCAGTTGACCGTTTCAGGGATAGTTGTCATTTCTTTGTGAGGTCTTTTTGTATTCTAGTAATTCTTTTTGTATTCTAGTAATTGTTCTAGTAACTTCTTTACACAACAACACAGGACCTCAGATAACAAACATAACAAAAAGTTGTGTCAGTACTACAACTATAGTAGATAGATTCATAATATTGTAAAACAACATTTGCAATTAATGTACAAAGAACTTCATTTAAATCAAAGTTATCATTTAACTCTGCAGCAACATTAAAACCACATTGCTGATCTTCTGGGACATAACAGTATAGCGTTTCAGCAACAGTACGTTTTATACTCCAGGGCCTCTAGCATTTTAAAATAGCATTCATCTAACTACATATCAGTAAAAATAAGAATCTACTGATGAAAACGTTAAGAAAATGAAAAGCTAATTTAAAATGAATACAGTCAAAAAAGCATACCGGTATATTCTATTGACAGTCATCATCTGGTGAAGACTCAATGGCATGCTCAAACTCCTAAAAACTGTTTTTTTTAACCGGTGTGATCAACATAGTGAAATACACTAGAGCAACCATTCGAAAGTAATATTAAATACATTGTAATATATGTTCTCATAAAGCCTATTAGGATTTGGAACAATCACAAAACAGTGAAACTCTTCAATGTTCTCCTGTGCTCTTCCACTTACAGTCCTTCCATTTTCCCACCTGCAGTGATCCGGGAGCAGTTACTCCTCCACTAGTGACAAAGAGGTTCTCGATCTCTCAAATGTCTCAACATTTTTTTTCAATAGTACTATACAATGAATTGCAGTAGGATATCTCTAATGAAACAGAAACCTACAAATTCAAACATGATTAAAAATAGACTTTGTGAAAGTTAATATGTGTAAACTGAGGGTTACTACATTATTATTGTTGCCCTTTGCATGTTTAAAAGTTTACTTTTAGCTGAGCTCTTGTTGAATTCACTGAAATCTTTCCAGTATTTTTTTTTTGTTCTCATCTCTTGAAATAATTTTCATCTTATTTTTGAAACAAAAAACAGAAGACAAAACATACATCCTTTTGCACTTGACCTTATTAACCTGAATTTCATAACACGAAAATCAAGCTAAGGTTAACTAAAAAAAAAACTCTAGCATTAAATCCCTTAGTTATACAAGTTTGAGAAATAATTAAACAACTTGTATCGGTGTGTAACAACACTTGTGCACTTCGTTTTAGTGAAACAGGACAGTTCTTGTGCTGCTCTTTTCATCTGTTTTTAAAACAAATAGCACAGCACTTCCTCTTAATTTAGAAATATCAGTTAATGAAAATATCAAGTATATTTTTAATTTATGAACCAGAGTTGGTCTTGCAGTTATTTGTAATCATCCTTTTTTTCCAGTTCTCTCTCTTTTACACAAGGCACAGACATGCATATAATTGTTCCTAATATGTGTCTAATGACTGATTTTATTTTACGTAGGTTAAATTTGTGCTAGTTTTTCCTTTTCCCCACAGTGCATTTAGCCTTTTTTGTTCTGGGAAACAGTGACATCTGATGGATTATTTTAGAACATCACTTCAGCATTTAAAACACTGCACTTTATCAAATGTACCAGGGCCAGTCTGGACTATTCAGTTTCTTTTCATGCACTGTGATTAAACTTCAGCAGTGTTACTGGCACCCAAGACTGAACTAGATAAAGAGAATCCCATGTAATGGAGGGACCACCTGACAGACTTGGCAAGGGGTGACGTTTTGTAATTAAATTCCAATTCTGTCTCATTTGGCGACTGGCTGGGCAACATGGAGAAAACATGTGAGGGGAAAATTTAGGGATTGGTTTGTTTTTGCCAGTGGTAGTTCTAGTATGTATTATCATGTTAATTTCGGTGCTTAATGCGTCTGTTCAGACAACAAAACCATTGTCAGTGTAATCTCTTAATCATGTCGGGCAGACACAGTTGCTAAGTTGATATTCTTTATATCAACTTTATCAAATGTACCAGAGACAGTCTGGACTACATTTGTTTCTTGTTCATTCAGTTAATGTTTAAGATTAAAAACAGGTCTTCACATTTATTATTTAAGACTTTCAAACTAGAACCCTTTTCTCACCTCTGCCTTTTTTGTGTGCCATTTGTGCCATTCTTGTTCTTAAAAGCCTGCCACTATCGATGACCTTAACCCTTAAGCAGTTCCCTTTCTGCTATTGTAGTCACATACCAAAAAATTGACAATCTACATTTCAAATTATTCAATATATATACAAAATATATGTATATTATAAAATAAAATATAAATATATATGTACAAAATATATATTTGTGGAACAAATGCTGTATAAGTATTAAGCAGATTTAAAAAATCAAGAAAATGTAACAATGTCCAACTAGTATGGAAAATTAAATCCAACTTTAATATAGTAAAAGTTGCTTGTTGAGTTGAGTGAAAATGTCTGTTGAATTAACATACCAAGTGTCCACAGGCTCTAATTTTCCCTGTGAACTACTGGAATTAGCACTCTAAAGTGGAGTCTTAAAATACTAGCAATTTCAATTTAAGCAGACCTGTAATATAAATAGATAAATATAAATTAAATGGAGCACCAGATTTCTCCTTATGATGTCAATACCTTATGCCTGTAAAATTTCATCTTAGTATTAACCGTAATCATGTCCTGTACCTCATACATGCATATACTATATGTTTGTACATATGTTCTTGGTCAGAACATAACTCTATCATGTTTAAATGTGTACAGATACTTTTACGGCCTGGAAAAGTCCTGGAAATGATAGTATCTGACAACATGGAGGACATAGTATCCCATGTCCTCCATGTTGCAATACCATTTAAGATTGCCGTTTAATGTATGTACAAATGTATCTACATGTAGGAGGTTAATAGCTAGGAGATAGAAACATGCACTGGAAGGGCAGAAAAATAAATCAGGACGGACTTGGAGGAAAGAAAATCCTGCCAAATACAAACCTATACATCTGACCTTTCCATCCCAGGATTCTGCTGAAGTCTCAGCAGGGAGGCTGACAAGTTCTTGGAAGAGCACTACACAGTACATTGTTCTCTGTGCTGAAACAGACAGGGCAGGAGTCTTGTGCAGAATAATAACACACAGCAAAAGCATCAGGGGAAATGAGCTCTTTGTTGTGGTGAGGTACCAGTTTGGAATTGGCATCAAGCCCCTAAGAAGAGTCTTTGAGAAAGCTGTATAAGTTGGACTTTATTGATGAGAGTCAGTTGACCTGGCAGATCCATTGAAGAATTTATTTTTCTCATTCTGACATCCCTACGTTTAGTGCCAAACCTTTTATTGGTGGGAGACAGGAAAACACGCGGGCCAGAACCGGATCCACAAATCCTGTGGTTTTCTGACAGTTTGATTTGATGAGAGATGCCTGGTGCAAGATAAAACAAGCCTTACTGTATCTTTATGAATTGGAAAATTTAAGTAAATGCATTTAGTCACATAAACTACATGGCATCAGTTTTTTGAAAATCTGATTTACTGTTTAGCACGTTTTGAACTAACAACTATGAAAGCAAATGCTTTTGCTTTTTTCTGAAAAAAAAACAGCCCTGCTTAACATATTTTAAAACTAAAATTGGAATAAAGTTCAAATTCAGAGCTATGTTGTATTTTTGAATTTGCTAAGTTGCCAACTTGTCTACTTTATCTACCATGAATAACAAAAATGACATGCGTTCTGAGGTTAAATAAAGTCTGATTTATCAATAAAAACTGCTGTTGAGCTGTTTTTTCAACACTTCAGTCATTTACGGAACTAGAGCTTGGGAACTACATGCCTAGGCTAAGTTAGTTTTGAAAGTTTTCAATGATGAAATGGATCTTCAGGATTACTTTCAGGATTGTGAGTTCAGCTCAAATGTTGCCTCCCTTTACTGGAATAGTGTATTTTTTTACGTGGTTCAGGCATCTTTATACACAGGACAAACTACTTTAAAGTATATTGCTAAATACAGGTACTCTTGAGAAATCATTAAGAACACATTAGATGTACAGTTTGTATAAAGAATTAATCCTCACAGGAAAGCTTTTGGTGCTATAAAATTTGATTTAGAAAAGTAATAAATGTGACCAGTAAATCTGCTAATTTTATAAATAAATATTACTTCTGGTCTGTACAGTACTAGGTTACTTGAACTACCTTTTCTAAATGTGATTTTTTTCAGACGAGATTTTCCTCTCCGACACATTCAAGTCAGTTTGTATTTAACCAGCAGCCATATCACCCTGCAACTCACAACTGGCAACCCACTGAAGCTTAGCAGGTGTGAGCCTGGTCAGTACCTGGATGGGAGACCTCCTGGGAAACACTAAGGTTGCTGCTGGAAGAGGTGTTAGTGGGGCCAGCAGGGGGCGCTCACCCTGCGGTCCATGTGGGTCCTAATACCCCAGTATAGTGACGTGGACACTATACTGTAAACAGGCGCCGTCCTTCGGATGAGACATAAAACCGAGGTCATGACTCTCTGTGGTCATTAAATCCCAGTAGGGGTGTAACCCCGGCATCCTGGCCAAATTTCCCCATTGGCCTTTACCAATCATGGTACCATCAATCTCCTAAT